GAAACACCTATGTAGTATCTTTTTTTCCTGGAATGTAGTTTTGCTAGGACATTCTTAACCCAATCAGATTGTCTTTGTTGATATATACCGAGTCTCTGAAAAAGACTTTGATAGTGAGTATTTACAACATGTTCTGATAGCATTATCAAAAGGTCAGACATTGGACACATTAAAGAAATATTTTCAGTGAACTAAGTTGGTTTCATTGTACGATTGGATTGAAACACAGTCTCTTGATACATGGAGTTAATAGGTGTTAATAGGAGATATGTCTATGTATATGTGTATATATAAATATTTATACACATATAATATATATATATATATTGCAGTGATAAAAACTAATACAAGTAAACTCAGAAAAAAAGGAAAGAGTAAAAAGGAAAAAGAAAAAGAAAGAAAATGAAAAGAAACATAAAGAAGTTACTTCTAGTCTTCATCACAAATATAAATAAATTTGGTAGCTCTTCACCTCTATAAAGTTAAACATATCTTTTCTTCCTATAACCATTCCTTATTTACAAGCAAATCCATAGATACATCAACTTTTCAATAAATTATTTTTTTTGAAGGATGTCACACATCAGGCTCTAGAATCACAACAGGTTAACACTTCATATTAAATTGTGTTGTCATTAAATAGAGCAGAGTTGAACATTTCAGTTAGCTCTGATAAGGAGTTCACTTGCAATGTGATTTATGTACATATGAGTTTATTGTGAAACCAAGATAGAGCAGCAGTTGTGCCGTTCTAATTATGACTTGGTGTGAAGGTTTTTTACTTTAAACTTCTGCTATACATATTTTAAAGATTTCTAATGTCCTGGGTTTTTTTAAAAAAATAACATGGTATTTCAAAATTACTGGAGGTAAATAACACACAGCATTCCCAATGTAATACAGTATGTGAGTTACATTCATTGAGAATTGCTCTGAGCAGGGATTAATATAGAAATACTATGTATCTTTTTTGTTATTTCTGACCAACTATAGTCTGGTATATTGAGTAATTTTGTAAAGCGTTGATGTTCTAATTCCTTTTTTGATGCATCATTGTATTAACTTGACTACTTAATTAAAATGAAATGAAATGTAGCATTGTTCCTCTAACTTTTTGCTGGACATATACTCACTTTGCTGTGAATTTATAATATATACAAGTTGTATATTAAGAATCTAGTTTATCTTTACACATGCAGCATTGACTATATTCAGACAATACTCTTTCAGTTTAGTCAGTCAAATACACATAGTTCTGCGCATCTTTCAAAATATGTCCAATCAGCTGAATAGTCTGACAATGAATACAGAGAATGCAGCCAAAATTTTGAGGGCTGTAGAGAATTGTAATGAAGTGGTTGCTTAAAATGGTGCTGTTAAAAATATGTCTGATTCTGCTTTTCCATTTGTTCTATATTTTCATTGATTTACTAAATTCATTTTAAATTCTATTTTCTGTTTGGTTACTGTGATTGAAATAACTCAAATGTGTGTAGTTCCATGAAAGCTTTGGAGCTGTTCCAATTTGTTGGCAGCCATATTCATGTAATTGGGTCACGTGATTTTGTGCACTAGTTACTAGGTAGTAGGAAGTTTGTATGCAAAAGTTATTGCAACTATTCCCTTGTAATGATAAAACTATGTCCTGAGGTTTAGACTTAATCCACTACTCCTCTCTACAGGGTGGGAAGTGTTTAAGAATGATCCATCCAGGAGATTAATAGACTGTTCTAAGAAAAATGTTTTATACTAGTATTAAAAGCCTGGTCATTTGGAATATGGAGATGATCCAAGTAACTGACATTATTGTTCTAGGTTGTATTTTTCTATGCAAAGCTTATTTACAGCAGTGTCAGGTTCACTGAAACTGAGGAGAAATGAAGTAGTCAGAAAATAAATAAAATTCAGACAGAGAAAAAAAAATCATCTTGAACTGGGAAACTGTAGATGATAGCTTCCTAAAAAGCAGACTATGAAGCCTACTTGAAATCATTGCTTCATTTCCTATCTTGCTTTGAAGTTATTAACCATCATTTCTTGGTTTGAGCAAGATGGAAAACTTAGTGAGGGTCATATGTGAGGCAGCTATTTGTAGATGGCATAGTGTTCAGTTCATTAAGATAAAATTTGATTAATATGATTAATGCTTATATATCAAGTCTGTAGACTTATAGCTTAAAATGATAATCTGTTGCAAACTCTTACACTTTTTAATTTTAAAATATTTTTATGGGTGTACTTGCTTCAATTAGTGGAAAAGTAAATAGTTTCTAATTATTTGCATTCTAGCTTTTTAAAATGCCTGCGTTATTTCAATTTATTTTGCCAATTTTCTCTTTCACAGCTTGCATTAAAAGGATCTAATTATAGTGGTCTATTAGAGCGGCATCGGATTCATACAAAAAATGTGGAACATATTGTAAATAGTCTAAGGTAAGTGTATATATCAAGAATTTTGATTTTAATTGAAATAATGTCAGTGAGCAGAGGCTCTGAACACTTATACATTATTCTTATATTCCCTGTTTTAAAAATATTACATAATGGCTCTGATCTAGTAGTACAAGTAGTCCTCGACTTACAACTGTGCTCACATGATTGTGGGACATTGCAAATGAACGATTGGTTGTTGAGCACCCAAAATGTGATCACATGGCTGCGGGGATGTGTGTGACCATTAGAACTTCAAATCTGGGTTATAAGAAACCCTGGGAAGGTCAGTCGTAACTTCAATCAGTCGCTAAGCAACTTGTAAGTCAAGGACTACCTGTATAGCAGCGCTAAGAAGCAAATTGGATTCAGCATCAAAAGATACTTCTGAATGGATGGGAACACAAATGTAGCAAATGCAATATCTTAAAGCAGAAATGTCTTTGCTGAGACCCTGCATGCTTTGAAACACTTCTGCAAATAAAATCTGAAGTCCTAATAGGTAATTTTTAAGCCTAGTGCCTTAACCACTATACCAAACTGCTTCCTACATTTTTCTGATTCCAATTGGGCTCATCTTAATAAAGCATCAACAAAATTGTAATACTTTTGTTTAATCCTTGCAGACACATAGATTACATGGATTTAACATGTGAGAGAGTTGAATGTAATAAGTGGATATTTTCAAGGAAATAATAATTGATGTAAATTATTGATCTGTTCCACAAGATTGTCAGTAGTTCATATGAATTTTGTCAGTATTTAGGCTTTACTTTTCACTTCCTTTTTTCCTAGGTGACATGGACTGTTTTCACTTTTTACATTTTTAACCATGAAAACCAGAATAATCACTTGCTTTTCAATATCTCTCTGTAGAAATGAGAAGATTGAAGTTCGGCTTGTAAAACGGAGAGACTATGATGAAGAGTCTGTCCGGTGGGCAGATGCTGTTATAGCAGCAGGAGGTATTAACTTGTGAGTGGGGAAATGTATTTTGAGTTATTGGAAACTTGAGTAAATATTTTTGCAGAAAGCCAGATTTGCCACTCTGCAAGTAAGTCTAAGCTAAAACATTGGTGAATTGCCAGGCCCTGATGAAACTGCAAGTTCCAATCAAGTCCAATCAAGTTTTCTTATACCTGATTGACAGAATATTGCCAAACTAAAGCTATAACTTTCTTACCTACTGATATATCCTGAGAGGTTCTAGTGTGTGATTACCCTGAACTTTTTGCTCTTCTCTCTGGGATAAGTCTCCCCATCTTCACACTGTCTCTTAGCCCTCCCAGCTTGCACCAGTCATTTGCACACCCTCTTTAACATGTGCCTCCCATCCACCCTTGTGCACACTTCTCAATTCATGCCACATCCTCATGCACTCTCCCTGACCTTGTCAGGCCTCTCACACATATTCCTGACTCATGCCATAACCCTGGGATATTCTCCCTCATCCTTATTGCACCTTTGGCACACCTGGCCTGCACTGTGCCTCTATCACAGCTTTGTGTACTCTCCAATCTAGCAGCAGCTACTTACCTGCCTGCAAGCCTGGGCCTTGCATTGACTTTTCCACTTACTTTTGGTTGTGGGGAAGTCCGCAGGAAGTTGCTTTGCTTAATGACTGGGGGATTCAGTTAATCATGGCAACTGGACTGCAGCTGTACTTTACGACCACATTGCTTAGCAATGGAAATTGGTTCCAGTTGCCAGGGTGCTGGTTGTCACTGTGTGATTCTGAACCAGGTTATCCGAGCATGTTGAATTTATCTGCCCATGCGAAGAAGTCAAAAGGGTCAACTTCCTTCTAGGTCCCAGCTGTACAAATATGCCATCTGATGAGCTTTTGAAAGAAGGCATTTTCAGTAACCTCTCCAATATTCCAAAAATCCTTCCCAACAGACGTTTGGTTTAATCCTTACCTTCTGAATTTCAGAAAAGACCTAGTTATTCCATTAAGTACAGAAAGAGAGGTTATGCTCCGATTGAATATTTAAATTTGCTAGATATTGTATTTGTACTTTTTGGGTATGATTTTAATCCTCTATTTGTATTATTTTATGGGTGAATTTATTATTTTGCAAGAATACCTTACCCCAAACAGCCATTGATACAAAAAATTACTATATTAAGGAAGTCATAATGGATTATTGTTCTTACTATTGCCATTGCCAAATAATCTCTCTGACTTCCAAACCTTGTAGGTAGTCAGAAAGATACTATGCTGTGGAACATTGCTGAGAGCTCTGATAGGACCATGAGATACATACTTCCCTATCCAGGAGAATCTAACAGTCATCCATCAGAATATTTTACCAAATGAAGATTAATTATCAATTTAACTGAGTCTGAATCCTGAATCAAGAATTATCCTCTCCAGGAGAGCCTGTACCACTGCTCTTTGTGACTGCCCTCGAAGATGTGTTAACAGCCCTCAAATACGTTGAGGCACATATCAATACATATCAATCTCTTTTTTCCCCTTAAGATGTTTGTCCAATACTCCATTTTGGAATGTTAATTTTTTTTTTTATATAAACCTGCTCTGATACCAAACTATATATTTTTCCTAGGTGATGGAACAATGCTTCTGGCGGCCAGCAAGGTCCTGGATCAATTAAAACCTGTTATTGGAATAAATACAGATCCAGACAGGTGAGCCTAAGATTTGCTGGCATCTTGTGATGAGATTGGGTAGCCAAATAAATAAATGACACACTATAGCAATTTGAGCCCCATAGATACTTATGGTGCATTATTTTATATTCAACCTTTTCCCCACATTTTTTTACCTTTTACCTGCATGAAAATATCCTCAGAAACATAAATGGTCAAAGTTTAATTCAGTAGCAGTATTATGCTAATCTGGAAAAAAACAAAACAAAATTATTCTGCAGGTGTACAAAGTATTAACTATAGGTTCATAAATGTAACTGTTCTAAAATCTTTGATGTCAAATATTTATTTATTTGTATTGCACCTTTATTATTTTTACAAATAACTCAAGGTTACAAATAACTCAATACTCCTTCTTGCTCCTATTTTCCCCACAATAATAACCATGTAAGACGAATTGGGCTGAGAGAGAGTGATTTGCCCAAGGTCACCCAACTGGCTTTAATGGCTAAGGCGGGACTAGAACTCATGGTCTTCCGCTTTCTAGTTTGGTACCTTAACTACTAGACCACTAACCCTAACTAACTCTAATCCTAATCCTATTGCCTTAACTGCTAGACCAAACTGAGTTTATATGCCTAAATAAATCAGATGTTCTAAATTAAGTTCTACAATTTCCAGGATCAATGTATTTTATTTACCTACTAGAGTTACATCCTGCTTTTCTCATTTTTTTTTCACAATTAGTATGTAAGATAGGTTGAGGTGAGAGATAGTAACAGGGCCCCAAATAGCTAATAAACTCCATGGTGAAGTATGAGCTAGAATATTGGTTTTCCTGATCCAAATCCAACGCTAATTCTAATACTACATTGGTATTCATTGGCATCAAAAGAAATTTTAGTCTGATTGCTAATATAATTCTAATTAGAAATGCATTCATTGGCATTTTTAGCTCATGAATTATATATCCCGAGTCCATTGTAATGTAAATATTGCATTGTCATCTTTTGGCAGTCTTCTGATTAAAATCATCCCTATTGCCTTTTTAAAATTTTCTTCTTTTAATGCTATAACTTTTGTAGTTTTTTCATTGTAATAGTCAAATCCTCACTGCAGAGTTCACAGGGATAATTGGAGTCAATGTATGGTGGTGAATTTCACTTTTACCTCTTATTGTTCTAAGAGTAAATGAGTGTTACTTGATAATAGCATTTGATTATCTTGAAGTAGTGGTACTTTCCACCTGGCTGTACACCTAATGCTATCCAATGTACTGTCACTCATTGATTATATATTAAAATGGCATTTCATTTTAAGCAAAATGAATCTGTCTCTTGTATGTTGCTACATTAGACTATAAAGTCTTTGCTTTTAAATACTTGTACTACTCTTTGTCTCTAAAGCTATAATTTGTGGAGTTGGGAGGGTTGCCTTCAAATCAGTCTTAATTCTTTTCTTGACAAATGGTTTGCCATGACCTTCTTCCTAGGACTGAGAGAGAGACTGGCCCAAAGTCACATAGCTGGCTTTCTGTGTAAAGCAGGACTCATGGTCTCTCTCTACACCAAACTGGCTCTCTTAATTCAGCAACACCTAATCTGAAAACAGTAATATTATTCTATTTTAAAAAACCGTATTGTGAGTTGATGGGAGGTGAAGATCAGTAGGTAGTTTGTAAAATAGCCTCTATGTTAATTTGCATAAAACAACATGAGAATATTGCAGGCAAAAGTGGGTTTTAGTTCCTTATAATGTTCTGTCCAAAATGTGTCAACATTTACTAGTATTGTTACTATGAGCAAGGAATGCTGCATATGACATAGATATAATTAAGGTGATAATTTAGTCTCAGGTTCTCTATATTATTAAAAGTATTACATGAAAGCCTTGATAGATCAAAGCCATGATGGATATTGGAGACCAATATCTTTGGACCGGTATGGTGATAACCATGGCATATGCAGGCGAAGCAAAAGACATGCATTTTTTTTCTTTTTACTCTGCTTGTAAAGAGTTTGTTTAGTTGACTTTGGTTGGAATAAAAACGAACCTAAACATATTTTACATATTTATGAAACTAAAAGAAAAAAAGAGGGGTGATGTAATAGATCTGAGTGAAGTTGATCTGATTTTGTGCAATTGACAAATACATGCAGAGAAACATGATGTAAGTGGTCTGAGCATAAGTCCTTTCATATGTAAGCATGATAAATCAATTCACATGTAAAATTGTTGGTTATTTATGATGAAAAATTAAGAGGATTGGTGAAGGATGCTTGGGTGATGAGGTGCTTTGATTCACTTTGGTAGTGTCAAGAGTGAATCTTGGGAAAAAGTGGACATGGAGGAAGAGGAAAAGAAGTAAAAGAAATGAGAGGGGAAGAACAACTATTGCAGGAAGAGAAAATCCTGTATGAATAAGTATTAGAAGATAAATTAATCTCCAAACAATGATTGAAAAGTGGATGTGAGGAAAGACGATGAAATAAAATGAAAAGAATTATGTCACAAGGTGCCACTGAAGTGCATGGAAAAGTATTAATAGGTAATATTGAAAAAATTGGTGCAATGGCGAGCGTCTGTAAGGGGTAACATATAGCATATAAGCAAATGTTTGCAGCAAAAATTAGGAAGGGATGCTCTGAGTAAAAATATACTCAGAGAGCAAGCAGTATTCATCTCCCTTATTCCACTGAAGATGTTGTACATCTATTTTCCTAAATTGCTGATGTTATAAAAATGTGGCTTTTTGTAAGGAATGAATATTTGTCAAATAAAGCAAAACTGCTTCTGTATAAGAGCATGTTTCTATCCACTTTGCTATATGGAACAGGGGGGTTGGGTATGTCTAGAGAAATGTCAAAGAAAGTTGAATACAGTCAGAATGGAATACTTAAGAAGTGGGGTAGAACAGGAGAGGGAAGTAGCCATGCAATTGCAGGAAAATAAGATGCTGACTCCAGAACACTTTGTGACATACAGTTGGTGCCTGAATTCAAACATGCTTTACTTTGCACCCCTTGCATTCTATGTACTTCTTTCTTGTCATTCACTTTTGTATTCAGTGTGCATCTGTTCATTCTGGATTCTGCAACATCTTTAGTACTGAGAGGTGAAACATTATGAAAAGAAATAGTGAATTAAGTGGTATTGCTGTATTTTGCTGTTTTTTTTTAGAAATGTCTCATGCCTTTGATTTCTATCGCTTGCTGTTTCTTATTCCCATTCTGTGCATTGCTAACACTGCCTATCCCAGAAGGGAATAGTGTGATGAGTATGTTTTTTTTTTCCACAGTTGTTGCTTTTGTCCACAGCTTAAATTTAAATATTTAAATTTAAGTCATGAACAAGAATTGTTATGAAATAAAAGGCTTTAGTGTATTCTACATGTCTGTGTGAAATAGTTGATAAATTGGTCGGTCCCTCATATTTGCCAATTAAAATGCATGAGAATTCAGTTAGTTAGAGTAATATAATCCGTTATTATATTACACATTTCTTGTTTAGAATGGGTGAGAGGGAATAAATTTTTGCTTGAAAAATGTACTGAGTTCTCTAATGCAATGTCTTATTTTTCCATTGTTATTTTATATACAGATCTGAGGGCCATTTGTGTTTACCTGTACGATATACGCACTCATTTCCAGATGCTTTGCAAAAACTTTATAGTGGTGAATTCAGGTAATATTAACGTAAACCCCTTTGTCTTTAAAAATAATTTTAGGTTTTAGACAAATATTATCTAAGTATCATTGATATGTATTGGGGATAAAACCTAATGATTATTTTTTCCCATGTAGAAGTATAGGAATCATTGAATGCAAAACAATGCTTAATGTGCACTTATGTACTTATTTTGAAGTCAGTTTTAAATGAATTCAAAATATTGTCAAGAAATGGACAGGAATTATGATATGATAATTAATATAACTTGGGAGAAATCACTGTATTATACCTCACAAAAGAAAAGAACAATAGTGTGAGCCAACAATGTAATTAAGCTTACTAATTAATGATGAAACTCACTATTTTTTAAACAGAGAGTGGTAACAGTACCAGCATTAAAAACACAGAGATAAAAGGGTGCTAATCTGTCTAACAAAGCCATGACAAGGTTGCAGAAATACAGAATAAAATGGACAAAGATCTAATGGAATACACATACCTCTTCTTACAACAGCCAGAAGAAGCTAAATGTGCTCAGTGGACACAACATGCTGAAAGCCTGTCAGAACAGGAAAAATGGTGGGAGGAATGGGTTTGGTTGGAATCTTCAGTAGAAACAATTCATATCGTTATGTTAAAGACAGGTTTTAATTATGAATAAACTTGAAAATAACGGTGAATACTTCCTTCCCTTCCCTATTTCACATGGCAGCACCCATCACATTTTCCTACATGGAGTGCAAATTACTTAGGTTCTAAAAAGGGGAATTGGATAGAAAATACTTTTTTTTCCACTGAGTTCCTTAATTTTAAAAGTATCATGAGAGAAGACTCTATAAATGTTAGAAGAAAATAGAATAATCAGAATAGCTTTTTTTAAAAAAAGATATGTATATATTGGTCAGGCTGATCATAAACCATAGTTTAACCAGAAATTTAATTCTGTTGATAAGGTAATAAATTCTTGATCATTGTGTGCAATAATTATCAAATCTACCAGCTATTCTTCGGTAGCTGGTATACTATCACTCTGCTTAATATTTGTTAGAGAGGCTAACCAGTATTTTTAAAAATAATTAAATATTTTGGTAACATGCCTACAGATTATCTTCTAAATATTGTATACGTATGTGACAACAGATCTGGCAAAAATAACGAATTCAGCAAGTCATAGTTTGATTGTAATAGGAATACAATCATTAACTATATTTTGAGGAGTATTAAAGCAATAATTGCATTTTTCTTTTACTTAAAATAGATGGTATAATATTTAGATTGTTTGATTTCACACTAAATCATCTTGTACTGTTCTGAAAATTCATCTCTTCCAACATCAGAAAACCAGAAAAAGAACATCTTGCCTTTAGGATACTTGAAGTTAAATTGCCCTAGAACTTTCAGAAATTAATAATTTAGACCGTGAATAAGAATATGAATTTCATTCCCATCAACTAAATTTCTTTGTGAATTAAGTAATGTTTATATGAAATAGTTAATAATGTTCTGAATACTATATGGGTCAGTTGTAGTGATGATTCATGGGGAAAAATGTCATCTATTTCAGTTGCTTTAAATTTTCTGTTCTTCATCTTTAAAGATGGCAGTGGAGGCAACGAATCCGGTTGTACCTTGAAGGAACTGGTGTTAACCCAGTCCCTGTAGATTTACATGAACAGCAACTGAGTCAAGAACAGCATAGTAGGGCCCATGTTAACGGAAGATTTCAGGATCAAAGTGAGTACTGTTTTTTCTCCAAAAGTGTATTCAATTCTGATGATTAATTGTACAATGATTAATTGTACTCAAACTTAAATCATCATTTTCATAGCTCTTAATTTACCATCTCAACAGAGTAGGAAAATATATTCAGAATAAAAATCAGATGCTTCTATTAAGTGCAGAGCTCCTATGAATAGATGCAGCCAGGTTAGTATAAAATGAATGTTTTCATATCAAGTCTGAAAATAAGGATCATCTTAATTTTAGTTCAGAGACATTTTCTTGTTTGAGTGTGTTTTTAGAAACATCTGCTTGGCCTATATTTCACCCATGTAATTTGCCCGTGATTGCAGGATCTCAGATTTCTGAACCACACCTCTTGCCTGTAAGATCATTAAATGAAGTCTTTATTGGAGAGTCTCTCTCATCCAGGTATGCTAAACATCTACTTGCAAGCATTACTGTTTGGCATAGCCTGTAAACATAATACTTTTATTTATATTAAAACATTTCCAAACTACTTTGATTCATAATCTCTACAATCAATCTTTATATTATTTTGCTTTCTTACTGATTAATCTATGGAATTGCATTCATACTTGATTACGGAATCCAAATGATAATATTTTGCTTCTGAAGCCTGTGAGAAAGCAGTTACAGTGCTATATTTTTCAAGAAGTCTTACATGTTTGTTTTATTGTGAGTTGTTGAAAGAAAAATCATTAGCTGGTCTTTAGTGCGTCTTAATTTGCACCATGCGTGTTATGTGTTGGTATTGGATTTTTTATTTTCTTTATCACCGTTCCACTGGGCTATATTAGCTATGCCTTTTCTGGCATTGTCCAATAGAACTTCATACTTAAATAAAAATAAATAAGAGTAATCTTGTTTTAAGGATTTACAAAAACCCTTTTTATCTTACTGTAGTGTATTTTAATGCTGTGCAAAACATTCAAAAGTTGCACTTTTCAAACTATATTAAGTATTAGTGAAGTATACCTCAGTTAAGTTCCAAAGCAACCACATGTTTTGGAAAGCTTGCATGGCTGCTTTGAAAGTACATAGGATTTGATGTGGCTCCTCCTAGAAGCGTATTGTATACACATGGAGCAGCTGCACAAATATGTAAGGAAACAATGTTGTGAAAATGATTTAATTCTAAAAGTGGAACGGAACTATGAATGAAGTGCTTGGTGGAATAGTAGATCAGAAGATCCAAAGATATGTCAGATCATGGATCAGGGAATTGGAACATATTATGTAATAGTAGGAAACATGAAATCATAAACTAAATAGTTGTAGTTGATAAAACTGAGTGGAAAATGGTTTTGACAAGTTAAATTTGTTCTGTAGATGCATTTTTCTGCTAGCAATATGATCTGAAAGAGGACATGTTTTGTACAGATTGGAAGGACAAGGGGATTTTTCTCACTTGCTGCCTGAATTCAGAATTTCATTTTGAATTTTAATGACAATAGGGATAAGTATGTAGAGGGGAAACTACTATGTGTTTCTGTTGGGTTCAATACTAGTAGATTTCTTGCTAATTGCAAACAAAATTACTAGAAAATTCTAAAAGGCTTTCAAAATGGCTTGCTCTTGTACTAACAACATGCTGTAGTTTTGAAAACTGATCTAAAAACCCCTATCCATCAAAAATATATCTTTATTTTTTAAAATCTGCTTTTTAAAACTGCTGCATACAAATTCAGTAGTAAAATTTTCAGCCATGTTTGAAATTAGCCTTTTTAGACTGGTACATGCCTGATTTCGGGCTGTGTTCTGTCTTATTCAGGGGGAACTATAAGTCCTGCAAACCCAGTTTTAAATTCTCCCTTCATAGGGCTTCTTATTATGAAATATCAGTTGATGATGGTCCATGGGAGAAACAAAAGAGCTCAGGTCTCAATATATGCACTGGAACTGGATCAAAAGCTTGGTAAGTTTTATTACAAGTAATAAAAATGCTGGAGATAGGGAGAAAAGCTTCCCAGCTAGAGTTGATCTAGGTACTATTTTTTTTAAATTCTCTTTTAGGTCTTTTAATATCAACAAAATAGCAAATCAGGCTGTGGAAGAAATTCTTAAGATTGGTGAGTTCCTAATACCATGATCATCATTGAAAACAATGAAAAGAAATGTTCAGAGTATTATCTAATTTTATCTGAACTTGATATAGTCTAAAAGTACATTGTTTTTCTTCAGAGACTAAATATTTATCACTTATACATCGATAACACCACTTTGAAATGCTACTAAAATGATATAAAAGTTACATCCCTTTTAAAACTGTGCTTATAGGAGTCTAATTTCTGTAACGGAAAATAAGTTGAAGAAGAACACTTATAAGAATTGAAAAGCTTTTAAAGAACTGTACTTGACTTTAGAAAATAAAGTCTGTATTTTATTATATTTTTTGTTAAACAAACCAGATTTTTTTTGCTTAACAAATAATCTTGAATCAGAACAAAGGATGAATTTTGGGAAACTGCCTTTAAATTTATCAGGGATGGGGAACCTATTGTTTCCCCATTTTCCTATATGTAACAGACATATATATTTACTTTTGATTTAGATGAGATTATCCTGTAAAAATGGCAGTATATACTGTATTTTTTTCCCTTATTGTTTGGTCAGATACTGGTCAGAAATAGAAGTATCTTTTAGAATTTTGTTTCTTATTTTTGTAAGAGTAACTGAGTATTGTTCTTTGCCACATCTTATCTAGCAAATGCAAAATATAATTTTCTATAACAAACAATTTTCTTTTCATTTAATAGCTAAAAGTTATGAGAATTTAAAGCTTCCATTGAACAAGGAACTAATACAGAAAGGTGAGATCTACTTTTAGCATGTTTAATCATTGTGATTTACCAATTCGTTTTGTTCTTCAATTTTGCTCATTATTTCACAGTTGCAGAATTTACAGACGCCACATTATTTTATGCATTTAACTTACCTGCATTAATATAATGCATTAATTTAAAGGTTTTTACATCTGTAAGTAAAAATGGGAGGTGGTGCTGGGCTTCAAGATGGCAGCCAGCAGCTCAGATTCAAGATGCAATGGGCTGAGCTTCCGTTTTCCCCCCAGCTCCTGCCAGCCTAACAGTTGGTATACTACAGTGGGAAAGTAACAGCGCCCCATGATCGATGCTGACCACATGACCACGGAAATGTCTTCGGACAGCCCTGGCTCAATGGCCTTGAAATGGAGATGAGCACCGCCCCTTATAGTCAGCTACGATTAGCGGAATAAAATCTGCAGGGATTCCTTTTTACATCTGTAAATAGAAATCAAATAAATTGAATGTAGTTCAAGCGCTTCTTCAAATATATCACATTTCCAAAATCTCTGAGGGGACAAGCTAACATAACATTTAGTATCTTACAAAATAACAGATTTAAAGCAAGTTAATTTCCACAAGCTTTTCACAGTTTTTCTGTGTTACATAAAACCAGAAAGGTTAACTATATAAAAAAAGATGATTTGGGCACTAACTCTTAGTGTGCTACTTAAAGAACCTGACTAATTGACTTCTGCTTTTTCAGTAACAAATGGATATAATGAATCACTGCTCTATAGTCCAGAGGAACCCAGGTTGTTTTTTAGTATACGAGAACCCATTTCAAACCGTGTTTTTTCAAGTAGTCGGCAACGAGGCTTTGCTTCAAAGTAAGTATTAATAGTAAGTGTTTAACCATAATTTGAGCAGCAACTATTTTAGATTTAGATCTGGAAGGTAATTGTTTTCAGTTGATCTCTAGGTTACAGAATACAATGTAGGAATATGAATTTTAATTTGGAAATCCAAAGCTGATTGTCTTTATTAACTATTAGTTAAAACAGTAAAGTTGGGTAGTAGTTTTGACCAATACCAAAAGAATTTTTGAGTTTACATGAGTGTAAATGTAGTACCTGTTTGCAACTTTTTAAAATAAAGCAGATGCATCTTTTATTGGATCATGTGGCAGCTGCAGGAGGTAGCTACACAAACCATAGAAAAGACTTAGCTGCTTTAAAAAGCTTACAGACAGGTGCTCTTGTGCCCATTGATGCCCCTTTTGGAACTGAATACAAAATGCATTCAGCAAATTCTATCACTTTATATAATATAAGGGATGTAGGAAATTTGCAGGCATTTTTTTGTCAAAAAGCTAAATATAATTGACTTAAATGAGAGCAAACAAAAGAAAAATGCATCAAAGGTTATTCCAATGGAAGCAAAACTAATAGCAATTACAGTTTTTGAAAAAGTATGTCCTCTAAAATGATGATAGGTTTTGTAAAAAATAGTATTATAATCTTGGTTAATTGTTTCTTTTCAATTTACAGGAAAAAGTATGTTTCATACTTTTCCCCCCAAAAGCTGCCTCTGCAATAATATAAGATTCCATTTGTAATTAATGTTTCATGAAGATGCCCACTGAAAATGATGTATATTTTATCCTACCATAGTTTGGGGAAAAAACCCGTAATTAAATGTGTTATTTCAGCAGAATGGATGAAAGGGCACTCTGAAAAAAGTTTCTTTTATAATTGAATAAGGTCCTCATTTTTCTTGAGGCTTGCTTGTTTTTGTAATGCTACAGAATTTTGAAATCCTCCCTCCTCAAGAATGTCTCACAACCTGAATCTTTTCTTAGGCATTCCTATCTGTAACAAAACCAGATGTTCACTAGAAGACTTTCCATTATGAGCCTAACATTTCTGTTGCTAAGTGATTTAAGTAATTTTTTCCTCCATTTTACAACCTTTTTTTGCCACAGTTATTAAGTGAATCATTGCAATTGTTAAATTAGTAACACAGTTAAGTGAATCTGGCTTCCCCATTGACTTTGCTTGTGAAAAGCTTGCACACAGTGATCACATGACCCTGGGACACTGCAGCCATCATAAATACTAGTCAGTTGTCAAGCCTCTGAATTTTGATCATGTGACCATGGGGATGTTGCAACCATTGTAAGTGTGAAAAATGGTCCCAAGTCACTTTTTTTCAGTGATGTTGTAACTTCAAATGGTCAGTAAATTAACTGTTGTAAGTCGAGGACTATCTGTAGTTTAGCAACATCATACCATCCCCCAGATTAAATGACCGTATTATTCCATCTTAACTTCTATCAAATATGCGTTGCTTCTAATCTCTATTATATGCATTTGAAACTATTCACTTGATCAGATGTCAGAAATATTTTTCTTTAATGTATTTTCAGAGTTTGCATTCGCTCTCGTTGTTGGGATGCCTGTATGGTAGTAGATGGAGGAACTTCATTTGAATTTAATGATGGAGCAATAGCATCAATATTAATCAATACAGAAGATGCACTGCGTACTGTTTTGCTAGAAGACTGAAGACATCATTGAGAGTATTCCAAAGTCTTCACAAATAAATGAGCTACATCAATTCAAATGTGAAAATAGCTCTTTACAGATATTTGGGAAACAAAGATTGAAATGACTTTTTATCCCTTCTGAATGAGAAACTCCTGGAAAAATCAGTGTTTTGCCATTTATTGCATCTTGTAATGTGAAATGTAATTGGTTTATACCTCAGACCAACAAAGTTATTAGCCCTTAAAAGCTTGATTCCACATAAATGAAGGTGGAGTCAAATAAGTTGATATTAATATTAAACTGTAAACTTCAATGGAAGTAGTATACTACCGATTCAGCAAAATATCTTGGAACTCCCTCAGTTTTTAAAGCAAATAATATCAAAGTTAATCTAAAGATGTTTGGTCATACTTCAGTGTGATAGCCAAGAAGTTTTAATAATACTTTTGTATTCAGAAAGAACTTTAATTTTTTAAATTCCGCATGTTTGAAGTAGAATTCATTACTGTCTTCTATTATAGTCTAATATTCATACTTCTGCTATAAACCATGTTTCTATTTACCATTGCATTTCTCATATCATATCGAACTGGCTACTGAATTCCAAATATTCTCCCATCCCATATGAGCACCAAGCATGTAAACTTAAGTGGAATTAACTTAAGCATACTGAAAAATCCAGAGCTTTGTTTAATTGGGCTCTAGAACAGACTCAAAGCATGTGGCTCCTCTTGTGTTCCTGAGAAACCCTGCCCCAAGGCCTGCTGGAGCTTTGGATAGACCTACCACAAGCGGAAATAAGGATGCATCTGAGTGTTTGTTCTACTCCCAAGGACAGGTGCTCCATTAAATAGGTTCCTAAGATTGCAAAACAACAACAACAATATCATTCCTTTAAAACTTTAACTCTGCATTTGTGTTAGGAGTATAATAACCTTTACCTATCCAGTGCAGAAATATTCATGCATTTTGAAAACGTCTTGTTTTCGCAGTCTGTAAAGCATATGCATGAATAGTTTCAAGATTCGGGAGCATTTTGTTCACAGTACGTGTATGAAGCCCAATATTATACAAGAAAGTCCAACAGTGTTTTTCCACTCAGGGATAGAATCTTCTCCTTTGCATTCCTCCCAAATCATTTCTAGAAGTTTCCCCTAGTTCTGAAGAACTTTGTGCCTGGGAGGTGCAGAATGGAGAGATTTATTGGACCCTTTCCTAGTTCTATCTGTAGAAACTGTTTATCTTACAGAATTGAATTCCCCTCCTCACATTTTACTTGACAGGTTACAGAAGTGTGACCACTGCCAACCTCTTCTCCTTCGTTAATTTCAGGTAGCTACTGTATGCAGAAGTCTTTGCAAAGATAATATTCAGCAGTATATTAGTTTACATTAGTTAAAGCAGGATATTTTGCAGATTGGCTGCCACTAAAAAGAATCATTCTTGCTGGTTTTAATGACATTTTGAAAATATCACAGAATGCATTAGCTCAGGGGTCTTCAAACTTGGCCCTTTTATGACTTGTGGACTTCAACTCCCAGAATTCCACAGCTAGGCATGCTGGCTGAGGAATTCTGGGAGTTGAAGTCCACAAGTCATAAAAGGGCCAAGTTTGAAGACCCCTGCATTAGCTGCTTATACTTGAAATAATGATAATTAACCTGCAGTCTGAGAGAACTAAATGATGAATTGTTTTTCTAATTACAAAGTATTGTAAATTATATCTTCAGGGCTTAACGTGAAGAGTCAAGAAAACGGAAAATCAGTTTTGCAATTGATCACAAGCCCTTTAGAAGACAAAGGAACAATGGAAAAAAGAACACTGAAATATACATGTCAGGCTTTTATCATGGAAAGCCTCTTAAGTCTTTCAGTGAAAGTGTGAGATCTGTTTACATGTCTGTGATGTTAGCTATTGGGAAGCTGAAATGAATGGACTTTGTTTCAAGGAAATATTTTTAAAACATGAGTGAGATGAAACCAGGATGGATACGCTCTGTAATTATTAGTTTAAAGTTAAGGAAGTTGTAAAATGGGTTCATTGTACTCACTGTTTGTTTTGTGATCTTCAAATTCTAAAGTTGACATTGTTAATTTGTGAGTATGGGCAGCTTTAACATGAATATGTTTTTCTTCTTCCCCAGCATGCTGAACTCTCTGTGTCTAAGTCTTGATTCTCTCTGGTGGGTTTCCGAACTTTTCTAGATCAGTGGAAGCATTTGGAATGTTGAGGCCATGCCAACATCTGCCTTGGATTGTGACTGTTCCCAAAATGCCTGCCTTGACAACCTTAGCCAGTCATTTACAAGAAGGCAAACTGATGAAGATGCTTTCATGTGGAGGTGTGTAGACATTTCTAAAGAAACACTTGGCTGCAATTGCACATTTCCCAGATTGCTTTTGTGACTGTGTGCAGCTAAGAGTATGTAAAGATGACACTCTTTGCTTTGCAACTTTTCTTGCTGTCTCTTTTATTAAAAAAAAGAAAAAAAGCCAGAATTAAGTGCTAAGGAGATGCCGATGGCAAACTCTTGATAGGACTTACTAAATATCTGAATGGTACTGTGTTCTCATCACAAATGGATCATGTTGAAAATTTATGTCACATTTTCTTAAATTATGCCAGTGAAGGGTTAAGAATAGTATGTTGTCCGTTAGATAAAAAGACAATAAAAAGATGCAAGGAGAATGATGTGGTTGAAATGATGTGATCTAAAATTTGAATTGTACTTGCTATTTTTTATTTTCTTTTTAAAGAAAAAACAGAGGATATCATAGAGGGCTTTTTGAGTCCTGCCACATTAAAAAAAACTTTAGTGTTCTTATCATCTGGCTCATGCCATCTGGGTCAAGAATTGACTTTTTAAGGGGAATACAAAATCCACACTAAATGCCAAACCTGTCTGATATCACATCAGTGACTATACCACAAGTGTGCCTCCAGGGCTTCATATTATCTGTCCCCCCTACGGGCCAGTCAGGCAGCAGTGGGAATGGCTTGCAGGCAATCAGCATTCAGATTCTGTTCAGTACATTTTGAAAAGGTCACCTTTTGTTTTCAGTCACATTTTGAGAGGATAAAAATGTTTCTGTGTTTGCACATTATGCCTTGCCAAGGAAAGGTGCTTGTGTGCTATAGAAAACCTTCTCCTGACCCTCAACTTGCTGACATTCTGGACCTTCCTAATGATGCAATTAAATGTGCCAAATGTGCTTTTTTTAAAAAAAAATGAGCATCCAAGAAACAATTGAGTGACAAACTACAGATTTTCTGGCTATAACAGAAATGAAAATAGGCTGAAAACAAGAGAGTCTTTAAAATGATTATTCTATCTTAAGAACATGCCTTTAAACCCAAATTTCTTAAAAAGCAAATATTGCTATGTCAAAAATATGTGCACAAATTAAACTCAATATAACTATGCCTTTTCCCAAAATTGTTTTATTTAAAATAATGTATGCTGTGGTTAGTAAATTAATAAATGTATTTTTCTTGCTTTTTTAACTGTTTTGTATGTCACTAACATTTACCATAACAGGAAATACATTTTAGAATGTTAAATATGTTCATATCTTTATAAAACCTTATAGCAATAGCATTTAGCCTTGTATGCCACTTCACAGTGCTTTACAGCCCTCTGTAAGCAGTTTACAGAGTCAGATAATAGGTCTTAATTTTCTTCTTAAATATTGTATTATTAGGGCCACAACAGAAGTAGGAAAAAGGATATGTCGTAATTTCTCAGATATTATAGTGCATTTAGAACTAATGTAATAATATTTCCCCTTTGAGTCTTTCATGTAGCAAAATTAATATCCTATTTTATGAAAAAATCAGGTTGCAATTATTTTTTGCTCCCTGGATTTCCCTCTTTTTTTTTCCTTTTAAGGGCACTTTAGTTATATTTTAACTAGATGCCTTTATCTTGCTACTACCTTCTCAACAAAAAAAATCAAGAGTGCAGGGAAATATGGAAACTTTCAAAAACACATTTTAACAGTTTTGTTTATAATAGTTATTTTTAATGTTTTGTCAAGATGGTCAAAACAGCAGGATTTCAAACTATATCTAAACAAATTTATTCAGGTTATATGAATGTTGCAGTGCAACCAGGAAAAAGGGAAAGCTTTATTAAGATGTATTTATTTGTATTCTGCCTTTATTTTTGTTTGCATTCCTATATGAAGTACAGGTAGTCCTCCATTAATTACTTGTTCATCGTCCAAACTTAAAATGGTGTTGAACAAATGGTGGTTATGACCAGCCATCCTAGTCGTCCTGCTGTCAGGTGATTGCGATCTAGGTACTTGGCAACCAACTTGTGGTGTCTAGCAGTAACGTGATTGCAAATTGCACTTTCCCCATTGAATTTACTTGTGGGAAGCCAGCAGGGATTTTCAGAAGTTAGTCCAGCAAGTATGCCCATCTGTGCACTTTCCCCCAGCCCCTCTGCACTCGAACCATGCTTTGCTGGCTAACTGCGCTTGTGCCGGGCCCTCTGTCCCACCCAGCAGCAGCCACTTACCCTGCCAGCCAGTCTGCTTGTGATCCCCCTGGCACTTACCACTTCCTGCCAACTAGCCCACTGACTTTGTTGTGGGAAGCTGGCAGGAAGTTGCACGAGGTGCTCACTTAACAAACCACAATCCTCGCTTAACGGAGGCAATATGATGTGCAGGGGTTGCTATTGCTAAGCAATGCAGTCACATGACGTTATGCTTTACAATAACATCACTTAGTAAGGGAATTCCAGTCCCAAATGCCATTCCAGTCCCAAATGCCATTGTATACCAATTAGCAACATGCGGCTGTGTTGATTATACTCAATTAGTATTGAGATATGTGACAACAAAACGTTTCAGGGCTGTGATCTAAACAGAATTAAACTATGATGTTTCCAGGAATTATGAGATAAAGGTCAGTATCTTAAGTATATCAGCCCAAATATACCCTACAACAATAACTGGCATGGATAAAACAGAGAATATGAACATTTGGACAAGTTTTATTAACTAGAGCTACTTTTTTTAAAAAAAAAATATTTCCACAAGGAGAGTGTGCATATTGCATATGGCAACTATTTGTGCATGATTAGCATTTCTTGGACAGGCCTCAGTAAAAGTAGTGGAACATAAAACATAAAAAATACAAATTGTAAAATACTTGATAGCATTTGGTCATAAACTGATAAAACCCGGTCAGTAACTGCAAATTGTGAGGTTACAACGGAATGCAAAAACTCCACAGTGAAGACTTGAGGAACTCAACGTTGCTGTTGGTAGAAGTCAGAGTCTTTCAAGTTCTTTCAAACCCCAGCCGGATTTCTCAAGTTCAGTCTGCACTGGATCCCCCAGATCTCTTGGTTCTTTTTGCAGCCGGTGGTGGGTCTTGCAATAGGTGTAAAGTAGGAGGTATTGAACTTTATATGAGGAAGCGTCGCCTTTAAGAGCTGTAGGGAATTGGCAGTCACTATTCCAAAAACCTGCAGCGTTTTGAGCGTAGCAATTTCACCAAGTTCACTAAAAGAAAAATACAACACAATAATTCCTTTCATTTAGCCAGTGCAATTTTTCATGTGTTTAGTACTGAATGATTAGCAGCACACCTCAGAATAACAGTGACTTAACTATTCTTCTCTAAATTCAAGGGCATGTTGAAAACCATGTAATAATTTAATACTTCTGTACATTCTATAAGTACTAAGTTGTTTGCAAGGGTGTTCATTCTAACATCCATTTAGATGTGGGATAAGCAAGGTATTTACTAAACAAATTTATGTAGCCATTCAACTCACTCATAAGTTTACAGGACGGTTTATAACATTTAAAAATTTAAAGGACCCATCATATAATAAAACTGTTAAAAATTAGATTAGCTACTTGATCAGCTCCATTTCCATTAGGGGTCCCCATCATATAAACAGCATTGCAGATTATATTTTTATTACACAGATATAGGTGTCCTTGACTTACAGTCACAATTGGGACCAGAATTTCTGTTGATAAACAAAGTGATTGTTAAGTGAGTTGTGTCAACCTTTTTTTGCCATGGTTGTTAAGCAAATCACTTCAGTTCTTAAATGAATCACATGGTCGTTAAGTCAATCTAGCTTCCCCCATTGATTGCCTGTTGGAAGCTGGTTGGGAAGGTCACAAATGGTTATCATATGACCCCAGAAATCTGCAACTATTATAAATACATGCTAAGCAACCAAATTTTCATCACATGACCTGGGGATACTGTGACAGTCATAAATGTGAGGACTGGTTGTAAGTCACTTTTTTCAATGCTATTGTAACTGAACGGTTACTAAATGAATAGTTGTAGCTGAGGACTGTCTGAATATATACAGTACTATAAAAGTACACCGGACAGATAAGCCACTGTTCACCATTCTCCAGTTAGGCCATTTCTTAACAAAAGGAAAACTTCCTTCAGTTATACTTTATGGCAGGGCTTTTCAACCAGTGGTACGGGTACCACCTGTGGTACATTGGCACCTGGCAGGTGATACACGACAATCCTAGAAAAGTGGTAGTGGGGGAGGGGAATGAGCTGAACCGGTGGCAGCAACACACAAGCCTGAGCGAGAGATGGCTGGAGCTGCAGGGCTGTCAGGGCTCAGGGGAAGCGTCAGGATCGGCGCTTCTTCAGGGCTGTCAGGGCTCAGCGGAAGCGCCAGGATCAACGCCAGGCTATGGCTGTAGCTCGGCGCCGATCCTGGCACTTCTGCTGAGCCCAGAAGAAGCGCCGATCAGCTGGAATGTTGCAGCATCTCCAGGGTCTTGTGATTTACATTCAGATGCTTGGCAACTTATTCATATTTATGACCGTCAAGTGTCCCAAGGTCATATGAAGTGACCAAAACCTGCTGCAACCACCCAGCAGACGGGGGGAATAAAAACCAAACACCCCCACCCCACCCCCGCTGCCAATCCTCAACAGAAATGCTCACAACAATGAAAACCTCGGACAGGAGGAAGAGCACGGCCGGGCGGACAGGCAGGTGTCTTGCTCAGCTGTGCCTTGGGGGGCACTTTTTTCAGTGCCATTGTAACTTCGAACAGTCACTAAGTCGAGGACTACCTGTACTTTATCACTTTTTTCCTTTGTTGGGGGGGGTCATTAAGTTTTTGACACCTTGCTAGGTGACTGGTGGTACTCGGATGTTGCCATATCCTAAAAGTGGTACAATGGGTGAAAAGGTTGAAAAGCCCTGCTTTATGGTATTCAGGAGACCTCTAGTGGAAACTGAGTCAATCACAATGGCAGAAGAAATTAAAATCCCCCCTTTGAAAGGAAGATCACTAATGGCCCTAGTCATAAATAGTAGTCAAATGATTTAAAATGCAATAAGTGATCAAAGGAAGAAAGCAGACAGAGACACACGTTGAAAAATCAGCGTGGAATATTTTTAAAGAGCTCTCTGGAATCTGCTCTCAAAGTCTTAAACTTGAAAAACTTATTTGTTGATTCCAAGAACGGGGTTTTATTTTAACATGCTTTCTTATAAATAACTCCACACATCACAAAGCATAAAAAGTGCCACTTGGATAAAGCTGAAAGAGCTTATAATAATCATGCTGCATTTTTTAAAAAACTACAATAAATTATCACAATTGTTTATATTCACAAGGAAACACTATGCAGTACAACTTTCAGCTACAAAGGCCTAACTGGAGAATAGCTTTTGTGGGATTAGCTCTCAATTTTAGCACTGTTTTGCTTTTCAAAAACAAGCAATTTGATATCAAAAATTACTTACAGTAAAGCAGCAGGAGGTATTTGATAGCATCGGCTAAAACCTAAGTGCTCAAGGCGTGTGAGTTGGTGGAGGTACGCAAAGCATTCAGGCTTCAACATAACACTGTCACTGTAACGAAAGTATTTAAGAAAATATTACTTTTCATTTATGTAAGATTTAAAATCTTATATTAATTCTGGATGTGCACTTAACTAAGTACTTGTGATGGAATGTAGTAGACTGGATTCCCAGAAGGGAGGGAGGGTGGGCCTTCCAGAGGTATAAGAGGCAGTTCAGTTCAGATATTTTGGGTGAGAGAAAGAGGGTGAAGACAGTCCCTCCCTAATGGTTCTCAGAGTATATGCTTGATGTCAGTGTTTCTCAACCTTGACAATTTTAAGGCATGTGGATTTCAACTCCCAGAATTCCACAGCCAGCAATGCTGGCTGTTGGAATTCTGGGAGTTGAAGTCCACATGCCTTAAAATTGTCAAGGTTGAGAAACACTGATGTAGATAGTAGGATGCTTCAGTTTCACAAGATTTATTTACAGTTGAGCAATGGGTAATTAACTATACTTTTAATACAGATTTAGGCACTTAAATGTACTCCAATATTGCTTACACAAGGCATATGATGCATTCTGATTCAATCTAGCATATTGTTTTTTATTGAAAGCACAAAGCTTTCAAAGATGCAAACTAGTATTCAATTGCAGTCCTTACCTTAAATCTAAATGTATTAGACCAGAGCATCTCTCTAGTAATGTTTTAACATCTGAAAATGAAAAGTGAAATATAATCATTGATACCTATTCAGTGGCACTGTCCATGTATGACTTTACAACAATGTCATAAATTACTTGGTCAGAAGTACATTTTCTACTAGGACTTAAACTAAACTATTTTAGTTTAATACATTTTAATACATTTTTCATACTAGAAAACACAACATCTACAGATAGTCCTCAACTTATAACAGTTCGTTTAGTGACTGTTCAAAGTTACAATGGCACTGAAAAGTGACCTATGTTTGTTTTTCACACTTATGATTGTTACAGCACTGCCCTGGTCACATGATCAAAATTCAGACACTTGGCAACTGACTCATATTTATGATGGCTGCAGTGTTGCGAGGCGACGTCTGTATTCTTGGCCTCTCTAGAAAGATCCAAAATAGACTTTGACCAGAATTCAGGCAGCTCCTGCTAGCCAGAATAAATTAGGGTTGGTCAGCCAGCTATTTAGACTGGATTTTGAATTTTTGTCCTCTTATCGAGTCCTTCCTAAGAACCTAGAATAGGCAGATGTTGTTTAATGCTGTTAAAAGGTATAATAACAGAATGTAAAATATTCCAAGTAAAGCTGCCTTTTGCAATTGACTGATGGTGTTTTTGTCAATGCGATTATGTTCAAGTGAAATTATTATATACACAAAAATTAGAAATCACAGCTGCCATCAGCAGTTGCTGGCCTTTATATGCATCAAGTTCTTCCCAAAAACATAGGATGTTGTAATATATCAGCACAGTATATGTGGGAATCCAAGAGTAAACCATACTATTTATTCTGAATGTGGTAGAAGCTGGATTAAAGCAGTATCCAAGTCTCAGCACAGGTTTGAATTCTGCAAATTTTGTTTGCTCAAGTTCTATATCCGGCTTTGAGAGGCATGTCAAGAAACCACAGTATAAAAAAAACAAATTAACAGGTGGTTGTAAGATTTTAAGGAGAAAAACGGGTGTGTAATTGAACTTCTGTTCAATTGCAATGAAAAATACCCCCCCCAATTATCACAAGAGAACTGGTTACCTGAATCCGCTGTTTGAAAACAAAACTCACCTGGCATCAGGAGATTCTGCCTGTATCCACTAAGGTTCAACTGCAATAGCTTTGGAGGAGCATGACTGACTATGATCTTCAAATGCTCAGTTGTGAAGTCACACCAGCCTAAATTCAATTCTTCTAACCTACGTATAAATTGAGAAGGAATACATTCTCAAAATTACCTACCAATTATTTTAAGCCACCCAAAATCACTTCTCATGAGATGGACGGCGACATAAATTTGATTAATACATGTGTATTAAATAAGAGTTTTGAAAGCATCAAAATATCTAGAAATTGTACAAAAATAACAAATGTAAAACACGCCCTACAAGCAGTGTTCTAATTTGAAATTCAAACATGTAATGTTCCACTTTAATTTTTTTATACCAACAAAACACCCCATGGCACTGAAGGCCAGTAGATTCTGAACTGGAAAAGAAAAATAGTTCACACAACACATTTGCCTTGGTTCACTCACTGTGCTAAGCCATACTTTAGTGTAGGTCTGTTAAACCACCATGCTGGCTTCATTAACTGCACTAAATTGTGGCTGCAGCCTACAATAACTGGGTTCAAATTAACGTGCTAAACTAAATTCAAACAAATATTACAGATGAACAAGATATGTGAACCCAGTTCTTAAATGTATAAAATTTGTTGTTCTACCTAACACATTTCTACTAGCAGAACTTGGCTGTGGTGGATTTTTAAATCTTTTAGTTCTTCTACTGTCCCTGAAATCTATTCTGAGATTTGGGGAATCTTTTGAACAGAAAGGAAAGAGGCACCAGGTTTGCAGAAAAAAATAACCTGGAGGAAATTCCACAACCATCCCATTCAGTACATGAAACTCAATCTATGGTCTCCCTTACAATCATCTACACCTAGCTACTTGTGCCTTCCTTTTTATTCCAAGGTATTTTTCATTATGCATCATATTTATGAATTCCTTGCACCTATGCACAACTCAACGTGTGAATGCCTAGATGGCCAGTCAACCCCACAGCAACCTGTCCCTCTAATCTGAACTCTTGGATTGTTATTAAAGTTTCTACCGACAAATCCAAATATAGAATGTTTAATACAAGTGCTAAATTTAGTGTAATCTCTCATGTAAGTCATATTACCTTGGACAGCTTTTCAACAACACTTCCACAGTATCTGCAGAGAATCCAGAACATCCAGATAAGTTTAGCCGAACCAAGTTGGGGTTTTGAGCTATACTTCTGAAAGAGAAAGAATAGAATGGAGTGTTCAAATACTGCTAAGCTGATCTGTTCGATCATAAGGAGGCAGAACTGCAAGAGAGTCTGAAGGTACCCAAACTATTTCCAATATGCCAAACTGGTTATGAATTTGCTGAATATTTATTTAATGTTTATGCTCTTCACAAAATCAAGCAGTTAACAGAATTAATGAAATAGAACAGCTCTTGGGAAGAAGAATGAGATTTTATCCATGTCCTTTACATCAGCAGTCCCCAACCTCCACGGATTGGCAGCAGCAGCAGCAGGGGGAGGAGGGGATGGTTTTACACACGCAACCTTGCTCCTGCGCATGCGCAAATGAAGCTTTGCATGCTTGCCCGCCACTTGCATGACCTGGTTCCCAACGGACCACAGACTGGTACCGGTCCGCAGCCCAGAGGTTGGGGACCTCTGCTTTATGGAAGAAATGGGGAAGGAAAGATCTAGAGAGCTGAAATAAAATACAAATCACAAAAATAATTCTAAAAATTCTACAGCTTCAAAATCAATACCAAGGTTACGAAGCAAAGGGATCCAAAAACTGAGTGAAGCAAGAAACGAGGGAGAAAGAAGTTGTATATTACAAGGGAACACCAAACCAGATTTAGTCTGAATTTTTAAGCATGGTGCAGTTATGAAGGATTCCTAAGATCAATTTAATTAGAAGCTCAGTTACTCAACTGACTGAACCTGCGTACATTTTCACATCAATAAAAGTAATATAATTCATGCAGGCAGACATTATCTTAAAAGAGGCATTCCCTTGCTGAATGAAAAAGCAGAAAGTCAGGTATAAGACTGTCTTTCATTCACTGCCTTTTTATATTCTTACCTTCAAAATAATCAGCAATTTTAAAATACTGCTTTTGATGAATGAGTTATTGATCTACTACTAAAAACTTTGTTAAGTTGATTAATGGACAGGTCAATTCTACAGAGAAGGAAAAGGAAGAAAGGATTTCATAAAGCCTTTTTGGCACAGGAAATGAGTACAGATACTCCTCGCTTAATGACTTCTGTGTTTAGTGACTGAAGTAACAATGGTGCTGAAAAAGTAACTTTATGACCTGACCTTGCACATACGAGCATCACAACATTCCTGCAGTCATGTTATTAAGATTTGGGAGCAACTGGTGGACATTTACATCCCCCAGTTGTGCAATTATTATTTGCACACTGCACAGTCAGCTTCCAACAAGCAGAGTCAATGGAGAAACTGGCAGTAAAATCACAAATCATAGTCACAGGATGTCTGATCTAATGATCACTTGGTCATAAGAGTTGCCAGTCCCAATTGTGGTCATTAAGCAAGGATTACCCGTATGCAAAATTGCTTAGTTTTTGATTCTTGAGCTGAGCTGGGGACTATTTTATTTCTTACTTTTTAAATCACTGATACAAAGGGGAAGGAAATCAACCAATGAGAAGGTAAACCTAATACTTCCTGTGATCTACAGCTCAGTGGCACAGAATCTTCAATGGTTGTGTGAATCTTCAATGTCTTTGAGCCTGCCTCTAGTATACCTCCACCTTACATTGTTATTATTATTCATAATAACCAGTCCACTTCCCAAAACTCTGGGCAACTTACAACATCCAAAATATAATTAAAAACAATTAAAAACACAAAGCATTATACAGGATAATAGCCCCTAGAGAAACAATCATAGCAATAAAAACAATGAGGCTCCATTAACACATGAACTCCAGATCTGTGAACAGAGCAAGGACTTTGTCAGGGATTTGTTACAACTTTCTCTTCCTGAAGTCAGCATCAAAAATTAGCACATTTTTAATCACTCACCTAACTATATCAGAAGAAAGTAAGAGACCTTCTAAGCTGAGATTCTGCAGATTCTGGCATCTGCCAAGGATACTCTCAAGATCTATAACCTTTATTGTACAATTTGATAAATCCAGATGTTGCACACAAAGAGCCCTAAGAAAGAGACAAACAAGGGCATAAGGAAAACAGTGGAATACAATTCTTTAAAAAAAAACAGCACTAGCAAAATCATAGAATCGTTGAATTGTATAGTTTAAGGAGACCACCAAGATGATGTGTAGGTAGTCCTCAATGTACGAGCGCAATTGAGCCCAAAATTTCCATTGCTAAGTAAGGCAATTGTTAAGTGAGTTGTGCCCTATTTTACAACCTTTTTGCCACAATTGTTAAGCGAATCATTTGCTTGTTAAGTGACTCTGGCTTCCATATTGAGTTTGCTTTTCAGAAACTCCTTCAGAATTGCAAATGACAATCTCGGGATTGTGGGACACTGCAACCATTGTAAATACATGCTGGTTGTCAAGCACCCAACATTTGATCACGTGGCTGCGGGGATGCTGCAATGAGTGTGAAAACTGATCACAAGTTTTTTCAGTACCATTGTTAACTTCGGTCATTAAATGAATAGTAATTCCAGGACTAGTCCTGTGTCCTGAAATGTAGAAGAAAACCAGTGAAACCATCTCTGAGTCTTAAACCCTCCAGAGGGAGAATCTACAGTTCACATACGAAGATAGTTTATTGCTGTACAGAGATTTCTGTCAAGAGTTTTTTCTTTTGCCTTTACTGAAACAAACTCTAGGAAGGTGCAACTTACACTCTTTATTTTTGGACTTCTGGTTATGGAAAAGAGCTCTCACTATCTTCCCTGTAGCTTTATATACTTCAGTAAGACTATCATGACTCCCATCACTTTCTTTATTCTAAACCTCCCAAGTTCCTCATAGGATACAACCTAAACTCCCTGCACCATTTGCATTACTCTCTTCTAAATGCTCTCTGTCTTAATTCAGAACCTTTAAAAGCATTGTTTTGAATATTCACAAAATCAAACATAGCATGCATATACAATATTTACTTCCCATAAAGGAAGGGAGGGAGGGAGAGAGGGAGGAAGGAAGGAAGGACCCAGCCAATCATTTTCTCAAAGCTACATAGCAAACTTGATGAGTTATAAAGTTTGTGATCTGAAATGAGCCAGCGTGCCTGGCTGAGGAATTCTGGGAGTTGAAGTCCACAAGTCATAAAAGGACCAAGTTTGAAGACCACTGCTCTATAATGAAGCCAAACACATCATATCATCCAACTAGAAGACAACAGCCCATTCAGAGACCAAGGTGATCCCAAACCTGACTTTTAAAAATATTGTTTAATATTTAATTACAGGAAGTCCTTACTTAATGACCAATCATTTTATGACAATTCAAAGTTACAATGGTCAGGGAAGGATACTTTATGGCCTGTAAAGAACCTCCCCAGCTATCATAAATGATTGCTCCGCCATCTCCCAGTCATGTGATCGCATGTCAGGGGAGCCAGCTTTATGTTCCACAATCACATGACAATGTGATTTTTTAACAATGTTTTTTTTTAACCAGTTTCTGGCATTTTTTTCCAGTTTCCAGCAAAAAAACCTCTATTCAAACGAATTGTTTCACTTAATGACCATGGTCTTCGCTTAACAACCATGGCTTTTTCTTAATGACCACCATGAAAAAAGTTGGGAAATTATTTCTGGTCAATGGATACCCCACCGTATGACTGCAATGACTTACAATCATAATTCTGGGCTCAATTCTGGTCATAAATCAAAGACTACCTGTATATAAGAAAGCAACATCGCCCAAAACAAAGCACCATTCTGTAGCATCAATGTTATTTTGTTTTGTGCCTAACTTTGCCCATCATGACAGCTGTCTTTTCAGTAGACAACTCTACTAGGGTGAAAATTTTTTGCTCTCAGCCAAAGAAGATCGTCTATTCACACATTGCACTGCACTGATATCCAGTGCCAAAGTCCAGCTAGTCCACTTGAAAATCTTGCTTTTCTTTTTGCAAAATAGACTATAGACAGAGATGAAACTGTCAAGATAAAGGGTATCATCTTATTTCGGTGCAGCATTTACCTGCTTGTTTTAAACAAAGGGGTCCCAATACAGGACCTTGGACAGCGGAAGGCAATCACTCCCAAGGGCAACAATTGGCCAATCACTGCTGGCAAAAGATTTTTATCTGCAAGATCAAGAGTTTGCCAGAGCGACTCATCAAGCCTTAAAAAAGAAAATAAAAGAAAAAGAGAAATTAATTTATCAGCAATTGAAGCAAAAATATTAGCATAACTGAGGTTGTCACTGGCAGATTATTATACAATATTAGAAATTACGCACATATGATCAGAATTAAGCTCAAAACATTAAAAAATATTAACAAGAATGCTTATGTTTTCCAGGTTGGTTATAGCTACAGCAGAGTTGTGGGAAAAATTCTCTATAAGCAATGAGTTTTCCCTTTTGTGCACTGTAACGGATGTTAACCAAACTTTTGGAAAATAACCGAAGGATAACTGAGAAACTGTAAGATCGGCCCCTTATTTCTCAGAAATGTTTCCTCCTCCTTTGGAGAATTAGTACTTGTCAAGTGGCTTCAAGAAAGAAGTCCAATTTATTTCTTTACAAGAATAGAGAACTTGAAAGTTAGCAGGTAAATTTGAAAGTAGAAAAGGAGATTGACAAATAATACCTACACCTACAATATACTGTATTCTCTTTTGCAGCATATTCTTTATGGAATATTAGCATACACATTCTTCATTTTTTTAATTTAAAAGTCCATTTGTTCCTGAGTAAGAACTACTCCATTTCTCTATCTACAATGTTTTATTTAATACTAGCACACTCCATCAGTTTTTTTGAAATGTTAAGTTTTAAATACTGAGTATTTTGTAAATAGGCCTTTTAAGTCTTGGTTTTTTATATAATGCTGGTACATTTTTTATTAACTGTGGGGTCCTAAACAGAAGGCTTTATGTTCCAAACACATCTGGCAAGCTAAAAAGGAGGGTCAGCTTTCTTATGTTGGAGAAAGCACTCTATTATTTGAAGGACTACCTTGTCATGTTATCCAGACCTTTCAGAGCCTTGGAGATTTTATTTAGATGGTGCTTTTGCATATTACAATGTGTAGTATTTATATACAGGTAATCCTCGACTTACGACCACAATTGAGCCCCAAATTTCTGTTTCTGAGACATTACTTGAGTATATGTCTGGGCATTTTACCTTTTATGACCTTTCTTACAGTTAAGTGAATTACTGCAGATGTTAGTAACAGTTGTTAAATGAATCCAGCTTCCCCACTAACTTTGCTCGTCAGGTTACAAAAAGTGATCACATTGACCCCAGGATATTGCAACTGTTATAGATATGAGTCAGTTTCCAAGAGTCTGAACTTTTATCGCGTGACCATGGGGATGGAGACATATACATAAAGGTAGTTGTTGACTTGCAACCATTTGTTTAATGACCAGTCAAAGTTACAACGGCACTGAAAGAGTGACTTACAACTGGTCCTTGCAATTATGACCATCGCAGCATCCCACTGTCATGTAATCAGCTTTGGGGTGCTTGGCAACCAGCATGTATTTACGATGGTTGCAGCATCCCAGAGCCACGTGATCATCGTTTGTGGCCTTCCCAGCCAATTTCCAACAAGCAAAGTCAATGGGGAAAACCAGATTCACTTAATGACCGTGATTCCCTTAACAACTGTGTCAAAAAATGTCATAAAAATTAGCCATGATTCACTTAATCACCTTGCTTAGCAATGGAAATTCTGATCCCAATTGTGGTCTTAAGTTGAGGGTTATCTGTACATATTGTACATACATATATTAATACATATATGGGAAACAACGGTGTCAAGATTTATTGACAGTATGAAAAGTGAATAAATATTGTGTGTTGGGCAAAACCTGCCCAGAACTTCATTTAAAAACAGAGCAAGAGCCAAAGTGATAGGTCTGCTCAGATCTAGATGGAAAATATTGCAACAATTGTACAGCATGCAGTTAAAATTCCATCCCGGTATCATGCTATTGTTTTTCTTGCCTCACATATGACAAATGAAACTCCTAAGTCACTGAATTCCTACTGAAATTAACAAATCATATCAATGCTCAATGGAAACCAATTCAGCAAACAGTACAAGGGAAATGATTTTGTATATTTATATGTACACTTTTATTTAGAAATCGACAGCCACTTACGAAAGGCGATGCCATCTCTGACAAACCTGGGAAACTTTCAGCAAATCAGTCAAGTTTAGATAGGAAAAGATTCCCAACAGCAGTTCATCTGGCAAAGTATCCCAAGAAACACCTTTTGGGGATGAGAGGAAAGAATTATTATGAAGTTTTAACATGTTTCTCAATCTTTATGCCTTAAGACGTGTGGACTTCCACATTCTGGAACGGAATTCTGAGAGTTGAAGTCCACACATGTCAAGATTGAGAATTGCTTTAACTGGTCCATTGGCTGATAAGCAAATTTTTCCAGCATCTTTTGCATTGGAAATCCAACTGGATTTCTCCAACTCATAAAGAACACTGTATTTCTTCCTTTCAGCAGAGTACACCTGGCACTTTATTGTCTGAAATTGTGTGGGTCAGTTAAGGTCATTCTATTATTAAAAAAGATGGATAAGAAATTTGAACCTTCTTTAATGATGCTCATTTCCATCATAACAGATTCCACAAAGCAATAATAAGAAGCTCACTAGATTGGTGGTGTCCTGACTGGATGAGATATAGGAGGAGAGTGAAAAAGGAACAGCCCATTCACAACCACAGATGGGCGGAATGTCTGGTGCCTAACATACAATATTTTACTTTAGCACTAGGGAAACTTTTTTCAGTTTTCTTGGGCCGATTAATCTTGTTTGTTTTTATTTTGCACATTGTGATTCTTAAGTAGTTTTATTCTTAAGTAACTTATCCTTAAGTAGTATATGTTTTTAACACCATGAATTTTGTACTCTTAATGGTCAGGCTTTCAAAAATCTATTTTAGGGTGTCTATATTTGTTCATAAAACAAATTGAAGCACTGACTTCCAATTATTTATTTTGGATCCTACATGACTTGAAACAAAAATCTACAACCACACCCTCATACAACAGAATCCAAGACAGCTTTCAAAAATAAATTTTACACAGTTCCGTGTAACTCACTTCAAAGTAAATACAGTGGGATGGCAAACTAGTCTAAGAGTGAAAGATGATTTTCAGACAATGGAAAAGTCAAATGTTAGCCAGAGTATTAAATTACTAAACTAACTTGCTTTTTTAAATATTCCCAACCTATATATTTGTATGCAAATAGTGACTAATACAAAATCTAATTTTGAAGAAGTGTAGTCAGCCAGTTTAAGAAACACCCTGCTCATACCCTGAATCTATTTAGTGTGTTGAGTGAATGCATCCATTCTGATTCGCAAATTATGGTTGCTAGCAAGTCTGTTGTGTTAATTTAGGCAACTGTTTATTGACAACAAACCAAGATTAAGGAAAACTAATCTATAATAGGTGAATCCAACAAATCAGCCTGCTTTTATAATTTAAAAAAATTAAAATACTGCTATCAATTTAAGCTTTATTGTTATCCTAAGGTAGAATTTTGAATAGCTTTTGGGGAGGGAGGGGGGCAAGAGAAGGTTTTACCTGCTATTGTTGCATGAAGCAGTCTAGGCTGGTGGATAATCACACATTTGGTTTCCCTCACTTTCTGCCGTTTGGTGGGTGGAGCCACACACATCAATAGATCCTGAGGTGTGTTCTCACTGTCCAGTTTAAGAGCAGACACTCCCAGAGTGTCTGAGAGGAGATCTGAAGTTTTGTTGGGATGCCAGCTCCATGGGATACTTGTAGTGATGTTGCTCCCCAAATCTGGAATTTCCTGAAGATGTCTCCTGCAAGGATACAAAGGCCCACATCTACCATTTACTTGCAATCCATAATAGCTCTTCAGCCACCACAGGAACAGAGACTTAAGCTGAACAGAAAGTGTCACAAACTTACTTCCTGAAATTACACCTTTGAAAAATGATGTGAGAGGCAGAAATAGTTGCTTCTCCTCCAGAAAACCACTAAGGCAAGGGATTGCTCTATTCCAGGGGTAGGCAACCTTGGCTCTTTTATGACTTGTGAACTTCATGGCTGGCTCAGGAATTCTGGGAGTTGAAGTCCACGAGTCATAAAAGAGCCAAGGTTGCCTACCCCTGCTCTATTCTGACAGGACTGGTCAAAGATTTCAATAAATGATAAGCATATCACTATAGGAAGAATGATTTCTTGTGTGTCATGCAAGTTTGACATGCCCAAAATGATCAGCAGCCTAGAAACTTAGCCTGCTGATACTGTGTTCTGCTTGAATAGACCCAGTACTAGGAATTACAAAGCAAATAGCTGTTTTCCCAGAAAAGTGCATAATTGGTACAACAAACACTGCCCTAGTAAGAAAGTAGCCAGATGTCAATAACAGGAGTAGTTAAGACTCAGAATCGTTATTATTATGGAAGAAGAGAGCTAAAAGTTCAAGATACGTTTACTTTATTCTTTACTTGACGGGGATGCCTTCATACATTACTACGCACATTACTACTAGTTTTTGATTGACAACCATAACTGAATCTTGAAATTACAGTCAAATGTTGTTCTGGTCGTTAAGATCAGCTTATGATCATGCCCATTTTATTTTGCAGCTGTCATTAAGCAAACACGGTGGTCATAATGCAAACAGCAGCATCATTAAGCAAACATTATCAAGTGAAGTCACTGTTTGCAAAGGGTGATCGTTTACCAGAAAGAGGAAGTAAAATGCCAGTTTCTGACAAAAATAAAAGTTGTAAATTGCAGTCACAACCGTGGACTGTTGCAAACGCCCGTAAATGCAGGATGGATGGATGGATGGATGGATGGATGGATGGATGGATGGATGGATGGATGGATAGATAGATAGATAGATAGATAGATAGATAGATAGATAGGGATGGATGGATGGATGGATGGATGGATGGATGGATGGATGGATGGATGGATGGATGGTATACTGGATTGGGAGACTGATATCTCATTATAATTATCATCAGAAATTGTTTGGGTGGATGGAAGCCCGGCATGAAAAAATAAAACACCCAGTTCAAGAGAAGACTAGAGATAGTCTTTGACTTACATCTATTCATTTAGTGACCATTCGAAGTTACAATGGACTGAAAAAAGACTTAAGACCTTTTTTCACACTTACGACCATTGCAGCATCTCCATGGTCACGTGATCAAAATTCAGACACTTGGCAACTCATTCATATTTATGACAGTTGCAGTGTCCCAGGGTCATGTGATCACCCTTTGCAACCTTCTGATAAGCAAAGTGAATGGAGAAGCCAGATTCACTTAATAATCATATTACTAATTTAACAATTGCAGTGATTCACTTAACGGTGACAGGAAAAGTCTCAAAATGGGGCAAAATTCACTTGTCTTGCTTAGCAACAGAAATTTTGTGTTCAATTGTGGTTGAAGATTATGTAGAGGACAATACAGAGGATGGCAACTACAAACCCTCCTATCCTGTTTACAAGAAAATCAATGGACAGGTTGATGTCCAAGTTGCACTCAGTGGAACTCTTGAAAATATCTAAATGGCATGTTGCATCATTGTACATAGATGCAACAACCTTTGGTATAAAGTACTTTTGCATTCAAATATAGCATTTCCAAATGCAGTTTAGCAATACCGTTGCAATACTATGAGATGATTTCCCATTAGTACATATATTTTCAATTGGATTCAAAGACAAAGAGAGACCTATATTTAGTCCATATGCACACCTGCACATTTTGTTCAAATCCATGTGCTAGTACACGTATCCACCTGTGCAGCTGTTCATAAGGAGACTGTGCCAGTACCCTAACTTTCCTAACTTCTTTGCATTTATTATGAAAATATTTATTATGCATATTCCTTGGGGGATCCTCTGCCGTAAATAGATATGCAGTTATAATCTGAAAAGTACATGCCCGATTGCTGAGTGCAACATTTATCTGAAACACCAAACAACCCGCAAGCCAATCCCGCCGCTCCTAATCTTTTCTTCGCATCCTCCTACCCGGCTGCATCCATTTATCTTTACCTGTGCATGATGCTCAAAAGTGTGATGCATGAAGAACGGGGATCTCCGATCCCTCGGCTTTTACTTTCCCGCGCCTTGCCTTGCTTAGCTTTGTTGATCTAGTTAAATTTGCCGCAGCTCCGGAAATCCAGCAAAAGAACCCCGCGCGCTCGATCCGCCCGGGCTAACGTTCTCCTAGACCTCGCAGTGGCTCTCGGGAGTTGTAGTACTTTGCAATGGAAACTGTTCTCATGCACACAGTACAGTATTCCACGGCAACGCCTTCTTAAGATTACTGAAGAAACGTCCATAGATATTAAGAGTAATTGTTTCCTTCTGCTCTTTTCCAATTCCGGGAAAGTGCGATTTGGGAGAAACGTATTTGTAATAAATTTGTAACTTTTATAAAATGTAGCATCTCTAAAACACTTACTATTAATTGCAAATAAAATTCAGCAATTAGTACTGCATTTCATGTAAAGTATTTAAACCAATTTAAACTTTAGGATGCCGCCAAGTATGAAAAACGCCGGTTTAAATCAAACCTTAACATTGCAACGTTACGTTTGTCCACTGAATCGTAAACCAGGACGATCCCACATGGGTATTAGATTGCAACCTTCATAAATCAGAGATTAGTCATTACAAAAGGGTTAATGGAGTCACAATGTACGTTCTCTGATTGATTGACTAGGCACCATCGAGTCGGTGTCGACCCTTTGCCACAGCATCGTTAGATTTCTTCCACAGAGACCCGTCCCTAACTTACTCACTACCTTGAATCGGTTAGGTCAGGGGTAGGCAACCTCGGCTCTTTTATGACTCATGGACTTCAACTCCCAGAATTCCTGAGCCAGCATAGCTGGCTCAGGAATTCTGGGAGTTGAAGTCCATGAGTCATAAAAGAGCCGAGGTTGCCTACCCCTGGGTTAGGTAAACAAAGGAAGCTTGGCTTTCGCAAGGCCTCTTGGGTACTGTAGTCCACTCGTAACCATGGCGGGCCGCAAACCCTGCTCCTGCGCAAGCGCGTAGCCAAACGCGATGTCTCCTGGGTATTGTAGTTTCCCCCTTTTAAAGGCAGTGGTGTAGTTGTGGTAGGTTTCGGCAACGTGGATATGTTTTCCCAGGCTTCCTCGCGCGCGAGGGACGAACCGCGGGCGAGAACGACGGCGCGGAGCCGGAAATGTCAGAGGTGTCTGCGGCTCAGCTGGTAGCCGGCTCGGTTCCTTCCTGCGGAGAGCCGTACTTCCTCCGCCTGAGGTGTAGGAAGCCGGGAGTCCTTGGGAGCAGCCTCGGGAAGGATTCCTACTGAACGGAAAGCCCGTAGTCCTCGGTTCGGGGACCAGCAGTGACCCAGCGAGGAGTGGGGACCCCGAGATGATGCAACCGGGGAGTGCCCAGCCCCGTCTCTGCCGAGTAAGTCCGGGGAGCTTCGTCCTCCCGCACTGGTTAGCTTTCTTCTCTCCGGCTCTATCAGGCCGGCCTTCCCCGATTCGGCGCCCTATTATGTATTGGACTACGGTTCCCATCACCCGCAACCCGGGAATTTGGAGATTCGGGCAGAAGCAGGGTGCACCAAGTTGGGGAAGGGCATTTTCTTCAAAGTAAGGACAGTAACCAGCATATCCAGGAGGCGACTGTAGTAGAATTGGAGTGAAATCTTCCTAATTCTAAAGGATTTTTTTTTAAAAAAAATAATTACTAACAGGATGGGTGCTTTAAAGTCTTGAAAACCGGGCAGCCCACTCTGGTTCTGTGGGATTCTCTGCTCCATTTTTTATTTTTTATTTTTTTTTTGCTTGCTTAGACCGGATAGAGAAGTGTGCTAAATAAATGTAGGGCATGGATGTGAATAATTATCAATGGATATGTATATATTCTGGCGTTACCTGTTGCCAGCCCTACCCACGCATGTTGATAGAAACTCTTCTCACAAATTGTTGCTTATTTCTGTCCTCCAGTGTTAGATGAATAGAAATGCTAGAATTCAGTACTCAGCACTTTGAATCTTAGGTGGTGTGTGTGTGATAGTCATATATATAATATGTGTGTGTGTGTGTGTTTCTTTGTGTTTATGTATTCACACATGAAGAATATATTGTGGTTAAAGGACAAAATATAGTGGTGCCTTGGTATTCATCGTTAATTGATTCCAGGAGGTGCGATGAGTACTAAAAATGATGAGTACCAAACAGTTTTTTCCCTTAAGGAATAATATATTGAGTCATAAGGCAGCCGACACAAGTTCTAGCTTGTGCATTGAGTACCAAACAAACAATGAGTACCGGGATAAAATTTTTACATCAAATTTGATGATTTCACAGCAGTTGAGTACCAAGGTACCACTCTAAGGATAAATGTGCCTGTATTAGAATGGTGATTGGTTCCTGTATAAAATTAGCAGTGCTGCTTTTATACAAATCTAAATAAACATAAACAAACATAAACATAAAAAGTTCATTACAAAGCAGGGAAACCAGATCAATTTCTGAAAGGCAAGCTTGCAAGTGCAAAGGGAGATGAATGTGAAATGCACACTTAGCTCTCTTTGAATTGCCAACTTGAATTTACAGCTTCATTTTTTACATGTTATCTTGTAGGACAGACAAGTTTACAGATATGGTGTATAGTGTTTGCTTAAGGTTTTATCTTACTACTTTTGAAATGTTACTATGCTTTTTTTAGACCAGCAGTTGCTTAAGCTTTTTTCCTTAGTTACTTTAACTGATTTAATAATACTTTAAAATTATTAAGATATCCTGATGGAAGCTTTTGATGGTTAGCTTTTTCTCAGTACCTGTGTAGTAAAAATTACAGTATAGGATAAAAGTTCGCTATCAGATTTTAATCTTCTCATCTCTGCTTACGATAGCAATATGTTATAAAAGCAATATGTACTACTTATGCGATCATGGTTTGAAGTTCATTTCCAATGACTTAATAAGAGCTGACAAACGAAATAATGAAGCATAAAATTAATAGTTGGTATTCCAGATCTTACTTATTCTTTAAAATATATTCTACCTTTCTGCTACAATATGACTCAAAAGGGCTGACATAATGTCATCTAAAACAGTCATAGCACAAATCAATAAAACAATATTTTTTAAAAAACCAAGAAAAACAATCTAAACTGGCTCAAAGGAGCAGGGAGACAAAACAGGGCCAGAAATTCAGTCATCTGAAAGGTCTGTGATCTTCTAGGGAAAAAAATATTCTTGAGTGGGACATCATAGGGAGGGAGGAAAGTCTGTGGCAGGATAACCAACCCTTGACACAACCACAAAGAAGGTCACATTCTGCATTCATGTCAGAAAACCTTTGAACGGATGGATTATGCAAAAGGGTCATTCAGGATCATCTTGGAGAACAAGCAAGCAGGATCATCTAGTAGGAACTATTTCCTTAGACATTTTAGTTGTGAGTTATTTCTTATCAGTTTGTATTGCATCTTTTCTATAAGGAGCATTGTCTATATTATCTTTAAAAACTCCAGTGCTGTCTCTTGTATGAGGATAGAAATACATATACATGCAGACAGTCACATATTCTATACAGAGAACAATTTAAAAAATGCATAAAAAGAGTATCTCAAGCATTGCATAATCCCAGACACTCTTAATATGCTATTCCCTATAGATTAGCAAAACATGCAATGTGGCCTTTCCTCACTTGAATGCTCCCTTCCCTCTTCTTTAAAGTTGCTTTTTTCTTATGACAGAGCTGTGTAAGTACAATAGCTCCTCCTGAAGAAAAACAGTTAAAAGCAAGGGGTCTTGTTCTCTAAAGCAGCCACAGGTTCCTCCCAACTCCAGATTTAGTACACTGTTACTGTACTCCCATCAATCTCAGGCAGCAGGACCAATAGCCATTTGTAGAAGAAGGACAGAGATTACTCAGGAACTGAAATAGCCTTTAGATCAGTGCTTTTGTTCTATATTAAAATACAGTGACGTCTGATGGTATGGATCAGGGTCCAATGTGGTAGACAAGTTAAATGGATTTTTTTAACCTTTTCAGCTGAAAAGTATATGTTTATTACAAGCCGTATTCTATTGTATTTAAATCATTGTTTTGCTGTTTATTACAGATGTAATCCTCTTACAGACTAATATATGCTGGTTGGAATCAGTGGATAATAATGAGTGGTGCAGCTTTGGGCATTGAGATAGTTGCTGTCTTCTTTTTGGCATTAATCATACTACAGCGATATGGTGACTTCAAAAAGCAGCACAAACTTGTGATTGTTGCAACACTATTAGCTTGGTATCTTTGTTTTCTAATAGTCTTTATACTGCCCTTAGATGTCACTACGGTAAGAATTTTCGTATTTATTTTCTCCCATTTTAATAAAATTTGATTATAATTTTTCCATAGGATTAACACATAAGGATTTACTGTTATTTGGACATAATTTATTTTCAAAAAAATCGCATCAGATATCTGATTAATATCTAATGTAAAATGTGCTTATTCAGTAATTTGAACCTATTCACTTTATTACACTTTTTTTGAAATCAACAAACATACAGTAAGGATACATTCTCTCATTGCATACATTTGTCAATGAGTTGCTGAAAAGCAAAGGATGATTGGCACACATCAACATAGCAAAATTGGGGGGTTTCATTTTGGGAAGCTGATGTGTTTGATGAATATGTCTTTATAACTCAGTGTCTTTATAACTCTTATTTTACTTTTGTCCAATTGCTGACTTTTTGTTTTCTAGACTATATACAATCGGTGTAAGCGTGATCTAAACGAGTCATACATTTATCCCACCAACAGTGGATCAGAAGCGCAACATCAAGACATTAATCCCACTCAGAGGTACCAAGGCATATAAAAGTTAAATTCTTTTTTGATCTGAAAATCTCTTGACAATCTTGTAACATTGGCAGGACGAGGAGGAGCCTCTCTTTTAACTTAAATGAGAAAAATGTCATGAAAATGTGAGGTCCTCAATGAGATATCAATAAAAATAATTAAAGGTGGTGTAATTTGGCAGAAAGATGTTGTGATGTGGTTTTTTATTATTATTACATAACATAGTACAGGTAATCCTCGACTTACAACAGTTCATTAGTGAGTGTTCAAAGTTGTGACACTGAAAAAATGTGACATGACCATTTTTCATAGTTAAGACCCTTGCAGCATCCCCATGGTCATGTGACCAAAATTCAAATGCTTGGCAGTTGGTTCATATTTATGACCGTTACTGTGTCCCCAGGGTCATGTGATCATCTTTTGTGACCTGACCAGCAAAGTCAATGGGGAAGCCAGATTCACTTAACAACCAGGTTACTAATTTATCAACTGCAGCGATTCATTTAACAACTGAGGCAAGAAAGATTGTAAAATGGAGCAAAATTCACTTAACAACTGTCTCACTTAACAGCAGAAATTTTGGGCTCAATTCTGGTTGTAAGTCGAGGACTACCTATAGAAAGTGTGGTATTTGTTTAAAAACAAAGTGAAAACAAAAAGACATCTCTATGAATATTTCCTTTTTACTTGGTTAATTACTTGTATTTAATGCAAGTATACTTTATTACATTTTCAGTTATTAATTCCTGGGTCTCTCTTTGTCAGTTCTCCAAAGTAGGACACTTTATAGTTCTGGCATAGATCAGCAGTCTCATTCAAAATGAATGAGACAGATGGGAGTATAAAGGGAAGCAGTCATAGTTCTAAGCCAAAGGGCACAAAATTCAAACCAGTTTATATTGCATCAGATCATTGGTGACGCTTTTTATGAGTCATGTTGTTATTACTATTGGCTGAATAATCCAATTTATACTGTAATTAGTAGCTCGAATGGTAAACATTTCAGTTTGGGTCTGAACGTTGAATGAGTTCATATTCTGAGGGTTTTTTTACTTTGAGTAATCAATTTAATTTGCATGTATGATTCTACGATGCTGAATAGCTTAATGAGCTCTATTTTATTATTCTATAATCCATGTAGTCCTTGAGTTACAATAGTAATTGGGACTGCAGTTTTAGTCACTAACAATGCAGTCATAAAGTGCAACATCACATGACTTCATTACTTAGCAATAGTAATCCCAGCATTCCACATTGCCATTGTTAACAGAACCTCACCAGAGGTTAGCCAAGGATCCACCATATCTGGTTTGGTCCAATCCAGTCCTCAGCCTCAATTCTTCCAAGTTAAGAAACTGCCTCCTCTTCAGCTCTCTCAGTCTCCTGTCCGCCCCCCGTGTATGGTGTAAGTATATGTAGATATATGTATATACAGTGTGTGTGCGTGTATACACACACACAGTATGTATATACACAGAGTATATATATATATATACACACACACACACACACTGTGTGTGTGTATATACTGTGTGTGTATACATACTGTACATACATACATATACATATGATAAAAAATACTTAAAAAGTGATCACCGAGACTAAAAAACTTTATTAAACACTTAGCTTTCGTTAGCGACTGCTGATGTTGTCAAAGTATAAACCAGATCCTCCCGCCCTCCTGTAGTTAATTGCTCTGTTGTTTCCGTTGTGCTCGTTGACAGCTGTTTAAATTTCGGCGCTCTGCTCCTCTCTTCGTGCCCCGCGTGCGTTCTGCCGCACGCAGTCACTCCTATGGGCTATGTGAGAGGCTCATTATTGCTTTACATTGCAATATAGCCTTTCTTAGAACATTCCTTCCCCATCAAAAATTAGTGCTGTATATTTCTATATTATGCATATGTTTGATGCTAACTCTCATTGTCTTTATAGTAAACCCAAATGTTTCAAACCATGGAGTTATATCCCTGATAGAATTATGCCCATTTTTTGGCGTGTTGTATACTGGACATCACAGTTTTTAACATGGTAAGTATTGTGGAAATTTCTGGAATGCTTGAAACAGCCTAAACTAAAATATTCAAAAGAACAACAGTCTATATATTTGCATATCTTATCACTTGAATGTTCATCATTAATGTGAAATGTGAAGGACATTTTAATTGAAAGACAGGTTTGCCTACCAGGATTTCTCAAACTTCTTTACATTAGGTCATGTAGGTTTTAAGACAGTTCTTCTCTCTATTCTAGCCAAGTGAAAAAATCTTATTTAAGCCATCAGAGAAACTAAACTGAGGAAGGAACTTGGCTTTTCTGTAAAGTAGCTGCTCTGTTCACTGAATCAGTTGGATATACTTTTTTGTCACAGATGGTGACAAAATATGAACTCGGTACCTGCTGCCAATGATAGATTTACTTAACACACCAGTCCTGTAGTTCTGAAATCAGTTCTGTGAAGAAACGGTTTCCTTCCTTTTGATTTATTCTTTGGACCTTAGAAGAAGACGTTTCAGAAATATTATAGCTGCCAGTTTTTCTATTTGTATGTGCATAAGTGCCAAGTACTTACTTCTGACCAAGGGAAAAAAATATATTCATTTTGTTTTTTATTCCTAGGATTCTGTTACCCTTTATGCAGTCCTATGCTAGATCAGGAGGTTTTTCCATTACTGGGAAGATTAAAACAGCATTAATTGAAAATGCTATATATTATGGAACATACCTTTTGATTTTTGGGGCGTTTTTGATATATGTAGCTATAAATCCCAAAATCAGCTTGCAATGGTAAGTAATACTGCTAAGCCTTTAGTATTTTGAAATGTTGTATATTTAGATTGTTATTTAGTGATTGGAGGAGATAGAACTTATAGCTATGTTGTTGAACTTGATTTAAGATTTGATTTTTAATTTCATATCTAGTTGCACATATTTACTTATGGTAGATTTTTCTTGTGGATGAAAGGATATTGAGCTTCCCTGATCCAATATGGCTCTTGCCTCATACTATTTAAGGCAGGGGTCCTCAACCTTGGCAACTTTAAGACTTGTGGACTTCAACTCCCAGAATTCCTCAGCCTCAGTGGGGCTATTTCTAACAGGGACTAAAATAATGTATCAATGTATTCTTTATTGGTAGAAGCCACTTGCTTCTTTCGCATTAATTATTAATTATTTATTTAAGGAATTTACCATTCACTTAATTAATTATTTAATTATGGAAATCGATGATTATTAATCATGACTAGCAGCTGCGAAAGCTCAACATTTAATTTCAACCTTGGCTGAGTAGCTTAATAGATTTGTACTGAGAATGTAAGCCAACGAGACCAGTTGCTTCACCGGCTCAGTACGGAATGCTTTCTCTGGCAAAAACAGGTGTGTCTGTCATGTTAAAAATGTTTTTTAAAACAAAAAACCCTCCATTTTAAGTTTGAAATAGCAATTTGCTCTTACCAAGAGTCTTCCAAGGTTGTTCCTACTATAAAAGTTCATAACATTTTTGGTTTTGGTGTAACAGGATTAGAACACTTCAGTAAAGTCAAAACACCCATTTAATACTCAGAATTTTTTACGTAATATCAACATTCATATGAACCTCTTGGATATAGCAAATTATTGTACTTTATCAACAATGTATTAAACCAAACTCTGGAAAAGGAATCATCAGTCAAATAATAAGATAGAAAAATAATTTAATATCTGTTATTTTTTTCTGATAAAAATGTAATTTAATTGATTATGGATCATCAACATGGTATTGACTCTTAGCAGCCATCTAGGTAGATATTCTCCAGGATTTTATATAATGGTGGCATAAAATCTTTAGTACTTACTGCATATGAAAACCCAGCCCACTTTTTCTGTTTTAGGAGTCAGCTTCAGACAATTGGAATAGCTGCTGCCAATACCTGGGGCCTCTTTCTGCTTGTGTTGCTGTTAGGATATGGCTTAGTAGAAATTCCACGCTCTCACTGGAATGGAGCTAAAAAGGGCTATCTTCTCATGAAGACTTACTTTAAGGCTGCTAAACTGATGACTGAAAAGGCAGATGCGGAAGAAAACCTGGAGGATATCATGGAGGCAAGTGAATTCCACAGCCAAATGCAGGGATACAAAAGGAAGTAGATAAAAAGATTTTGAGAAACAAAATATACCAAAGGTACATAACAATTTCTTGATATCCAGGATAGCAAGAAAGATAACAAGCAGTTTGGATGATGTCAGCTGCAGTGCTATTCAATACTTACATGCAAATGGAATTTCCTGCTCCCTTATTTAATAATTTCAACTCTAATTTTTAAAGATAACGCCTCCAGCCCCCAGAGCCAAAGAGCATAAATGGTGCAAAGTAAAAAGAGGACTCCATTACAACTTATATTGCCTGCTTTTCCACCCTTTTACTAAAAGAGGTTTCAAAATAAATTCCTCAGTGAGTTTGTCTCTGCTTGTAAAAATCTTTTGTAAAACATTTTAAATTTAACTGAATGTCATATTAAAAGGTTCTCTACATAGAAATTATATTTCTAATGTATTTTTTTTTCTCCTCACATAAACAGGAGGTCCGCAAAGTAAATGAAAGCATCAAATACAACCATCCTTTGAGGAAATGTGTGGATACAGTATTAAAAAAGGTAGCTTAATCAAACAGTATTAAATGTTGCCATAGGGCAGGGGTACGAAATTATCAGTTATCATGAGAAGGCTAATTGAAGTCTGGGAAGGAATATTTTCCCTTACTTTTTTCAGCAGAGACAGTAGCACGTCCTGATTTAGTCTCAGTGCCTCATTGTGCCAGGTCATGCCCACAATTACTGGCGCTTGTACTCAACCACTTAGCAATCAGGAGAAAAATGACTGCAAATGGTAGGAGAAAGACCTTTACTAATTTCAGGGTTTTCACTTGTACATTGCCACTGGCCACTTTGGCAGAAGAAAAGACAAGCCACGCAAAAGCTCAGTACTTTCAGACAAAAATATTCCTGCAGGAATACAGGTAGTTCTCAACTAACAGCATTCATTTAGCGACCGTTTGAAGTTACAACGGCACTGAAAAAAACGGCTTATGTCCGTTTTTCATACTTATGATGGTTGCAACAGGCCCATGGTCACCTGATCAAAATTTGGACACTTGCCAACCAGCGTCCTGGGGTCATGGTCCCATTTTGCGACCTTCAGACACTTGGCAACTGACTCCTATTGAAGATGGTTGCAGTGTCCCAGGGTCTTGTGATCATCTTTTGTGACCCGATAAGCAAAGTTAATGGGGAAATCAGATTCACTTAAGAACTATGTTACTAGTGTAACAATTGCAGTGATTTACTTAACAACTGTGGAAAAAAAGAATGCAAAATGGGGCAACACTCACAACTGTCTCACTTAGCAATGGAAATTTTGGGCTTGAGTCATAAGTTGAGGATTTACCTGTAATCAGAACTTTGTCTGAACTGATGTGATTGTGTTTCTGTAGTAGGAACTATTTAGATTCCCAGTTTTAATGGAGCAAGGAAACGAGGTAGCCCACCACTGTTTTCTTTGCTAGAGAAACTTTTGATAAAAAGAAGGAAAACAAAAGCTCATGTATAATAAGAGCAGACCATTTTTTGTCTGTTTTTAAGGCTTCAGTTGTTTTTTCAAATGAAATCACTGATAGGCTTTGATATAGATATAAACTGCAATATATTTTCTTTTAATTCCAGTGTCCTACAGAATATCAGGAGAGGATGGGTCGAAACATGGATGATTATGAAGACTTTGAAGAAAGATCCAATACTTATCCAACAGAGAAAAGCCTAGTGAAGCTTCATAAGCAGGTAGTTAGATAATGTAAATGGCGTATGAGCCGTGGTGACACAGTGGTTAGAATGCAGTATTGCAGGCTAATTCTGCTAACTGCCGGCTGCCAGCAGTTCGGCCGTTCGAGTTTCACCAGTCAAGGTTGACTCAGCCTTCTATCCTTCTGAGGTTGGTAAAATGAGGACCCAGATCGTTGGGGGCAATATGCTGACTTTGTAAACTGCTTAGAGAGGGCTGTAAAACACTGTGAAGTGGTATATAAGTTTAAGTGCTATTGCTATATGTTCAATACATCTGAAGTTGTAGCAGATGTATAAGCAGAACGTGCGGGCTGGATAAGATAAACATGTGAGAGACTAATATCCCTACATTCCTGGATCCAAATAATCCAAAGGTTCTCTTAGACCAGTGTTTCTCAACCTTGACAATTTTAAGGCATATGGACTTCAACTCCCAGAATTCCACAGCCAGCATTGCTGACTGTGGAATTCTGGGAGTTGAAGTCCACATGCCTTAAAATTGTCAAGGTTGAGAAACACTGTCTTAGACCTTCTCAAAGATATCTCTGGATAATTGCATCCAACACTGTCTTTGTTTTCCCTTGAATTTATCTGAACTTAAAGTCATAGTCCAAGAGGTCAAGACTCCAGTAAACAAACTATTTTTATGTTGGGCGTCCTATAATCACACCATAGAGCAGATGACTGTTAAAATGCAGCCTGATATTCCTCAGACTATATCGCTGCATTGGATCTGTTTTGGTAATGGTAATTTGGCTATACTGGGGTGCAGATATCCTTTAATAACCAGCTATGCCCAACAATTGCACCCCAGTCTTTCTAGGGACTGTAGAGTTCTGGAAAATCCGTACATTGGACAATGTACATAGAAAATCTGTACATGAGTATTCAAATGTGATAAGAGTCCTAGGACCCACACAATGTTCCAAATAATATATCATTTAGGCCGGTTTGGGATTTTGGGGGGCCTTGATTGTAAATCTAGCCTCTCTGGTGCCTGGAATACATTTGTAGGTAGTCTAAGCAATGCTGTGGTTAAAAAGATGGTCACATCATCCCAACAAAGTCATTTCAAATCCTCAGCACCTCTTTGGCCAATCTTTGGAAAGTTATAAGGGCATTTCAGAGATCAAGCAAGAGCACACTATAAACAGACTAAGATATGATAAATGCTGACTTTTCCTAACCCAGTGTTTCTCAACCTTGACAATTTTAAGGCATGTGGACTTCAACTCCCAGAATTCCACACTGGCTGTGGAATTCTGGGAGTTGAAGTCCACATGCCTTAAAATTGTCAAGGTTGAGAAACACTGTCCTAACCCCCTGTAGTGTACATAGATGCAGATTTCTTTCAGGTTTGGAGACCAGGACAAGATGCTCTGAATCTTAGACAGATTTTAGTTATCATCTTGCTGTCTTATAAACTCTATTGTTTTGCTCCTAAAGCTTACTCCCAACATCCCAGTAGATTCTCTGCCTTTCAGGAGATCTACTTCTGTATTATATAATGGCTGCAGATGCTCCGAGTAGGTAGGTTAATCTCAGGTTCCAGAAGATCTGCCCTTCCACTGTAACTCAGACCTGATTCCTCTGTTTCAGCAGCATCTCTTGCATGGGTGTCCCTGGTTTTTAGGGAGACTCCAGCTGATCCCTTGTCAAGATTAAGAGATTCATCTTGGCTGACTCTTTTTACCCCTCCCGGAGTCCTGTTGCTTCCTCTTCTACTAAAAAATGCCTTCCTCTGCTTCAGTTTTCTTGAACTCAATGCAAATTTCAAAATTTTACTTGGAGACTGCAGAGTGGGGAAAAACTCTATTCTTTTCCAGCTCCAGATCACAGATTCACGGGAATTCTACTTCCAGTTTCCAAAGATGCACAGTCTTTCCAGTAGGGAAAAGGGCTGGCCATCTGACAAAGAACGTGTCTTCCTCATGGATGTGAATTACATGTCTGAGCTGCAGTGTGCAAATCTGGCATGTAATCTACATACTTCCCCCCCCATGTATTCATTATATGAGCATAAGAATTACCGAGTAATGAAGTTAATTTGTGCTGTCTTTTCAAACTGTTTCTGTTTATTTTGCTAGAACGGTTGGGTACCTGAACTTAGTTGTCTCAAGTTCCAATCTTGTTTTTAAACATGCACTGTATTGTAAGCAGGTGTCATTGTACTCAGACCATGAAAATATATCCACATATAGCCATAATTAGCTATGCTAATCAAGAAATAAGCAAAGTGTTGGTGGAAGACAAGTTCCTACTGTATGTATTTTAAATAATGTGTATGCAGGAAGATACTTGGTAACCCAAGCCATATTCCTCATAAAAGTTATTCCTGTCCTTATTTTGGCATGTGCATGCAAATATACATGTACATTCATTCTTTGGAGTGGAGGTGTATTCTGTTTATTAAGGAAGCCCTTGTTGGAGTTTTGAGGAAATCATCTCTATCTTATTTTGTCCTTATTGCCATAAATAACTAGGATATTGTTTTTATTTTGTTAGGTGAATTATTCAGTTCAAAGGCATCGTCGTACACAAGTCCAGTGGCAAATTCTTTTAGAGCAAGCCTTTTACCTGGAAGATGTGGCAAAAAATGAATCCAGTGCCACTCATCAATTTGTTCATACTTTTCAGTCTCAAGAAGCTGAAAACAAAATTATCCAATATCTCTATTCACCAACTCTTGGTATGTTTTGTTGTACCCGTAATAGAATACATGTTTTAAACAAAGCCTCTAAAACAGTGAAAAGGATTCAACCCAATCCATCCTAAGTCTATAGCATTATCTTTAAAAAAATCATTCAAACTTTGTTCCTTATCAGCATTTTCTCTTTAGGTTTAATTTTGTATGTGAGGTTCATCCTGTGTCCTCTTACTGTCTGCTCTACCTTGAGATAGGTGCTTCAGCTCAAGAGCTGCTACTAGGAAAGATACAGGTTGCCTTCGGCTTATGACCACAACTGGGACCAGAAAATGTATCATTAAATGGTGTAGTATATTAAGTGAGGCATCATGTGACTACATCTGATTTTTTATACCTGATTTTTACTGCATCCTTAAGCAAGATGCCACGTGATTGCAATTTGTGACGGTCCCTGCCGGCTTCCCCCATTGACTTTGCTTGTTGGAAGCCAGCTGGGAAGGTTGCAAATGGGACACTGCAACTCTCATAAATGTGAACCGGCAATGGTCATAAGAGTAAGTCACTGTTTTCAGTGAGGTTGTAACTTCAAACAGTTGCTGAACAGTCATAAATCAAGGACTACCTGAAAGCAGTTTTGAAATGATTTTCATGTTTTCTCCCCTTTGTCATTTCTTTTGTTTCGTTTTGCTTTAGAATGGTATTGGGAATGTCTTCTACGACCGTGGTTTCACAGGATTCTCGCCATTATCCTGGCCATCTTTTCCATCATTGTTGTGTGGTCAGAATGCACGTTTTTCAGCCCAAAGCCAGTTCTGTCGCTCTTTGCCGTCTTCATACGACTAGCGGAAAAGAATTACAACTATTTTTACATAGAGGTCAGTTAATGTGATGGCTTGGCATTTTCTGTCATATTTATTTGTATGAGCCTATTGTTAAGTTCTGCATTCATTGACTTTGAGGAAACTTAGATTTAAGCTTATTTGTTAAGAGCTATGCAAGTTTGGGATCAGAAGGCAATTGGTTTGGTCATTCACATGACACCTGTCTGCAGCTGTTAATTTGAACGCAAATAAAAACTGTCGTTTCTTGTTTTGCAGATGGCTTGCTTTTTTACAATCTTTTTCCTGAGTATCTGCGTTTATTCTACGGTCTTCAGGATCCGTGTATTCAACTATTATTACTTAGCTTCACACCATCAGACAGATGCATATAGCTTGCTTTTCAGTGGCATGTAAGTATTTATTTTGCTACTTGTGTTTGGCCAGTTAAAGCCAATATAAAGAAGGAATGCACTGAAATATAATTAGATCTTGGTCAAAATCCGGAGTCCACAATAGCTCTTGATTTAATTTTTAATCAGATTATGTCATCAATTATTATATATGATAATTATGTAATTAGCAGAAGGAGAATCCCAGAAACTGTTCCCTGCTGTGCAGAAGAGTCTCATTCATAGCAGAATAAGGGAGAGAAGCACTGACAAATTGGGCAGAGGGATCATCTGTAAATATCTCCCTTCTTCCTGTCCATTCCACTCCATTCAGAAATCAACTCCCAACTTTCAGAAGAGTGTTTACCAATAAAAGAGAATATTTGCAGCTCAGGGATGAAATGAACAGTCCTTGGTGCTCTCTGAGCTTGGTATTTCTCTTGCAGATATTGAAGTCTGCAAGAAAACATCCAGTGCTAATATTAGCACTGATGATGTTACCTAGTTGAGTCAAGAAATGTCTGCAAGAAAACAACCAAGCTCAGAGAGCACTAAGGACCCCTCAGAAGAGTGTTTTCTAGAGGTTGCTGGGAACAGAAAGAGGAAATCTATTTTGATTCATCTCCTTTCAGTAGCACATACCTATATCCAGTCCAAATACTGCTTACAGTTCTGTGCGGAGCAGAATACCGGCAGTCATCAATTTATGATCGGTTGCTTAGCAACCATTCAGTTACAAAGAACCCCGAAAAAGCTACTTACAAACTGGCGTTGAAGTTTCAATGGCCGTCCCCCCATAACATAGTCCCATGACCACATTTTGGGCACTCGGGAGTCAGCCTACCTTTAGCATCCTACTGTCACATGACCAACAATGTACAGCATTTTTTTTAATGGAACCTGACATTTGCTTCCATTTTCTGGCAAAAAAAAAAAAAAAATGCTGCAAAGCAAACGGGTGGGTTCATTTAATTAGCATGGCCACCACAAAAAAGATTGGAAAATTGGGCACAATCACATGGTGATCTACTTAACAACCATGATTTACAATTGTAATTGCGGTCTCAATTACAGTCGTAATTCGAGGACTACCTGTATTAAGTAAGTGTTAACTAACGTCTTCTGCATGAAAAGAATCAAGAAAAGTACAATACAGTTTACATGAACACTCTTAGTAATAGGGAAGGAAGAATTTGAAATTACTTTTCAACTGCTGCTACTTTTCACGCAGGTTGTTCTGTCGTTTGACTCCTCCTCTGTGTCTGAATTTTTTGGGCTTGACTCATATGGATGCAGCAATTTCTCAGAGAACCACAGATCAGCCAACTGCTTATACCTCTGTAAGTTAACAGTATTTGTTTATTTTTGCTGTAGTGTATTTATACCAGGGGTCTTCAAACTTGGCCCTTTTATGACTTGTGGACTTCAACTCCCAGAATTCCTCAGCCAGCGTGCCTGGTCATAAAAGGTCCAAGTTTGAAGACCCCTGATTTATACATTTGATACCAAGAGATTTCCCCCAAACAGTTGAAAGCGGGATTTCAAATCTGTTTGGCCTGACTTGATTCTTTCTTTGGCTATTTTGGCTCAGTAGAAATTGTTTCGTTTGCATACAAGTTCCAGTTTGCTATATACAATTTGGTTCTACTGACAGAAGCTTACATGCAATCCCTACAAGGGGAAAATTCATAAATGTTATTAATCTAAGCCTATACTTCTTAAGTCCATCACTGGGCAGATGAGATTTAGTGTATTATCTGTATTTATTGCATCTAATTAGATAGTAAACTTATAATATGTTTCTACCAAAGTTGCACTCAGTAAAGCTAATAGAATAAATATGGTGTATAATAATAACAGATTTCTAAAACAAACCATTGTCAGCTTTAAAGCTATCTAATTTTGGTTCAATAGCCATATAGCGTGGAAATCGGAAATTGCATCTGATGCCTAACCAATGTACTCCATGACCCATAATGATGTTGTACTCAGAAAAGCATCAAATGCTTCATAAACCAAGGCTGGACTAGGATAACATGGCTTATCTTTGAGAGGCACATTCGTTTTCCTTACCTTTTCTGGGGCCTGAATTATTAAGGAACAGGATAAATGTATGCAGAATATATATTAGCAAGTAAAGTTTATGACCTTGATCATTTATGATGATGGGCACGTTAGTCCAGCTTCTATGAAGAGCTTGAGCCAGCCTTAGATGAGACATTAATGCTTTAACAATCTTCTTTTAAAAAAACCAGAACATTTCAAGGATTCAATTTGAGGCAATCTTGATGAATTTAAATCTCTTTTCTTGTAAATAAATTATAATTTTTTTAAAAAAGCTCTAGATTTGTCAGAATCCCTTCCTGCAGTTTATAATGGGGCATACTGATTCTATCCTGATATGGATGGTCTCATTAAACAAAATTTAGTGTACATTTTAGTAAGAAAAATTGGGAATGAAGACTCCTTCCAAATGCTCTGGTTTGTAAGTTGTACCTGCAATCTATCGTGTATCAAAAGGTGACAAAAAATAGAGATGGTTGAATCCAGTCAGTTTTCCAGCATTGTGTAGGAATACTTGTGTCTTGGCATGTCTTACCTGAGTTCTGGGTTTGCATGCAGAAATTGAAGGTTAATCTGGTTTTCTCAGATGAATGCCTGAGAGTACTTAGTTGCAGTTTTCACTGTTACAGATTCTCTTCTTTCTTATACATTATCTTCTTATTTATACATCATCATTCCATCTGGGTAATAAAACAGCAGTCAGGATTACATTGTATTGTGCCATTTTTTTTTGGCAGAAAGCAGTGAGCAGAGGGTTAACCTATAGCTGCAAGTTTGAGCATGTGCAATTGTTTTTACTTCTTTAACATGTCTAGTTTAACAAAGAGAAGGACCAGGGGGGACATGATAGCAGTGTTCCAATATCTCAGGGGCTGCCACAAAGAAGAGGGAATCAAGCTATTTTCCAAAGCGCCTGAAGGCAGGACAAGGAGCAACGGTTGGAAACTAACCAAAGAGAGAAGCAACCTAGAACTAAGGAGAAACTTCCTGACAGTTAGAACAATTAACCAGTGGAACAACCTGCCTCCAGAAGCGGTGAATGCACCAACTCTGGAAGTTTTTAAGAAGAAACTGGACAACCATTTGTCCAAAATGGTATAGGGTTTCCTGCCTGAGCAGGGGGTTGGACTAGATGACCTCCAAGGTCCCTTCCAACTTTATCATTATTATTATTATTATTATTATTATTATTATTATTATTATTATTATTATTATTATTATTATTATTATACAGTATTTGAAGATGAATATCAGACATAAAATATTCTTCCTTAATTATATTTATAGATTTATTTTTTAAAAGCAATAAATATACTATTTATTCTCTGCAGCATCAAATTATAATCTAGTTTTGTGTAGTATAATGAGCTGTCCACAGAATGCATACTGTCTAAAATTATGGATAATAACTTTATTTAACTTTCAGTATATAAGGTGTTTTGAGCGAAGCAGCAAAACAAAACCTGGCTTTGCTAACATCTCTTACTTTTTTTGCTTCCCAGATTATGGGATCAATGAAAGTGTTGTCCTTCATAGCAGATGGTTTTTATATTTATTATCCCATGCTGGTTGTCATTCTCTGCATTGCTACTTACTTCAGGTAGGAAACGGTTTTTTAAAAATTTGTATTGTTTGGATATTGTATGTTCTGAAATTGTTCTTCCTTTCTCAAATGAACTGGCCTTTCTCAGCAAGTTCAGAAAATGTTGAAAAAGTTAAGTTTTAACATCAGCTTGAGTTTTTCCTCCCTTTTCCCGACATGTAAATTTTAGAGTTGCAAGCATAATAACCAGTAATTGTTTGGCTGGTGATAAGTAAAATGAATTTGTACCACAAAAATACATAGTTCTCCTGCTTGACACATCATTAGAATGTTACTTAATTCACATGCTTTAAAAAGATATCTTAAACATATTTTACGTTTTATCTATCTTGACGCTTAATTTCAATTCATATAGTTTGTGAAATAATCATTTTCATTTTGGTGACATTGGATTGGGCCACTGACTGTGGATCTAGAAAAAGTTGATTTCTTTGCCGCCCCTCCCCCCTCTCTCTCCCATGGCAATAATTCCATAAAATGCTGCATAAATTGCTCTCTAGTTCAGGTGATTCTAGACCTAGCAAGCTATTTCATTTTTGAGAAGCATTCTTTGGGGGCAATCAGCAGATAGCCTGTTACATAAAATCTGTTATTCCCCCGTCCGCTGTGATAATTGTAAGCATTTATTGGATCACAAGTCGCTTCCAGTTGTTGCAAGAATTATCTTTATTTTTTCTGTTTGTTTTTATTGTTTGGCAATGGTTTTTTTTTTTCCAGTTTAGGAACTCGGTGTTTGAATCTTCTGGGATTCCAGCAATTCATGGGAGACAATGAGATGACTTCAGACCTAATAGATGAAGGAAAAGAGTTAATCAGAAGAGGTACAAGAGAGGCTGTTTGTGATCATTCTAATCCAGAACTTTGGAATTTTAAACATTGCTCCTTTATTCCAATTTTTTAAAGAATTATCTTCCTGGAGGATATCAACTATGCCAATAAAGGAGAATATTTGTAGCTTAGGGTTGAATGATGGGTCTTTGGTACCCTCGTTAAAAAACATTAAGTGGTGCCAACAGAGCTAAAAGAGGCTGTTCATCATGTCCTGCTCTGCAAAAGCACTCAGTTGACCTTTTTTGGAGACAGAGTACAGTCCAGATACATATTTACTCTCTGAACTTTGTTGTTTTCTTCCAGACGTTTTATTACCCAAACTAGGTAGCTAGTGCACTGATGATGCCACCTAGTTTGGGTAATAAAACGTCTGCAAGAAAACAACAAAGTTCAGAGAGTAAATATGTATCTGGACTGTATTCTGTCTCCAAAAAAGTTAAACTGAGTGCTTTTGCAGAGCAGGAAATGATGAATAGACTCTTTTAGCTCTGTTGGCACCACTTAATGATTTTTAATGACATGCAGCTTCCTTGATACTTAATATTGCCAATAGCTAACTCCACAACTAAGAAGCAGGCCTGTTGTGTTTTGCAAGTTAATAGGGAGAGCCCAACTCTTCTAAAAATGCTGTTTATAGATTCACCTTCCACCTGGCTCTATATTGACATTTGTCCCCAATGATACATGAGTGTACATTACAAGCATCCAATGTTGTTTGGTACATTTCCTAGTTTCTGTCTAGTTTTAAGAAAAAAATAATATCTCCATCCTTACATTGTTAAGAAATGCAGGCTCCTAATTGTGTTTTCTGCACCTTCAACTTAACACATAAATAACTCTTCTAACGTACATGTGCAAAATCTACAATAGAAATATAGAGGTAAATAGTGGCTTAGCCTTGGCCTTCATTCTACTTGCAGCGTAATTTTTTTATCCAGTTTTTGACCTGGTTTTGGCATCGTAATCCTTTGTTTCCCATTTAGAGAAATTTTCCCTGAGCAAAAATCAAGTAATTTGGCCCTGATTCCCCTTGTTCCATGTTCAACATCATTGTCTACGTACAGAAGTAAAGGGATAGAAAGACAGAAGACAGACAATTCTTTGGATTAGATTAGGCAGGGTTGGGAAAAGATTAGCAGTGTTTTGAATCTGTTCACTTCCAAAGCATGTCCAATTTATACTTTCTTGGCCCCACTACTCAATAATGCCTCACATTTTTTGCTGATCAGGGAACTTGAACATATTCTTCCAAAGAGCAGCTACCACATGGCTCCTCCAACCATGATGCAGTTATAACAGACAAGGGACATACTAAACCATCATGCATTTCTTCTGATCCCAAAGTTTGTAATTCTTAGTGGAAAAAAACTGATTTCACTGAAAGTATATATTAAGTGTTTTTTTTTAAATCCACTGGACATTTAAGTGAAAACATTTTTTCTCCCTAGAAAAGAGAAAACGGCAAAGGCAGGAAGATGGTGATAATAGGAGAAGGGTACGTGCAACAGATTAATATATTTTCTCTAAGCAGTAAAAGTTTAGTAATATTGCTGGTTATTTCTGTAGCATGCAATCCAATCCTAAATAGGCAAAAATAAGTGGCATATTACATTTTGTGTAAAACTTTGGCTTCTTTTTCTGAGCAGTATCATATTATAACCATTTGATTATAATGGCTAGATTTCCCTGGCATTTTGTAACTACTCCTTTTTGGTACCAAGTGCTGGTATTTTGAACATGAGTGCCTTTCTTTTTTTATAAATGCCCCAAATAGTGAAACATCATGAATTCTCACAAGACTTCAGCTATCTCCTGTGAGAAGACCAAAACAATTTAGGCATTCTTAGTATGTGAGATCCTACAAGATTTCAGTCATATTTTTTTATTAATTGGTAAGTGGAGCATGGTCCCCCTCTTGGATGCAGTAAACTTAATGAGCATTGTGATTGTTGAACCTTCTTTGAATGCTTCATCCTTCCACTTTCTCATTCTTCAGAGAAAATATTTTGGAATGTCAGACATTAAAATTACTGTACTATACAATTTGTATGTGCCTATAAGTGTATATTTACTCTGTGCATTTTTGGACAGGAGTGGAAAGAACGGTATGGAAACAATCGTGAACCTTCAACAAGAAACAGAAATCTTCAAGCAGACCAAAAAGAATCTAGTTTCACAGAGATCAATACAAACAGATGTAAGAATTGTATTAACAATTTAATTTTGCATTTTGTTTTATTGAGAGTTTTAATTGTTTTTTTGTGAATTTTATGTAATTGAGGGGTCTCTTACTTGCTCTGTATTTCTGTAGATCATGGATAATAATTGATTATTTTATTCAGTTCCAGGAGGGTTGGTAGAACTTGCAGTGATGTTGGTGATATCAAACTAGAAGTAAATTGGAGTCATTGGGAAATAATTAATCAGATTTTGATTTGGGAATGGTCAGTATGCTATCCATTCCCACAGGCTCTGAGCAGATAACAATATAAATAAAACACCCCAAGAAACCCCACGAACCTTTAAGCAAAACAAAAAGAAATATCAGATACAAACAGCCCCATCTTTCAATCAAAAAATACTTTCCTTTTCTACACAGTGGAACAGGAAGTCCCTTAAAGTTGTCCTGGGACACGGCTACCGTCATAAATATGAGTCAGTTGCCAAGCATCTGATTTTTTTTATCCCATGACCATGGGGATACTGTAATAATGGTCGTAAGTATGAAAAACGGTCGTAAGTCGCTTTTTTCAGTGCCATTGTAACACTGAACAGTCACTGTTGTAAGTCGAGGACTATCTGCATTCCAGATCGATTTTTTTTTTCTGTTGAAAAGGCAAAGACCTGTTCAGCTATTTGCTGGAGTTCAACATGCCCCTTGACTGTATTGTGAAATGTCTTCCTGCAGTGACTTCCAAGTACACCAGGTCAAATGGAAGGAATGAAAGGGACAGAGTAGAACTTCTTCAGGATGCAGAACCTCTGGACTTTAATGCAGATTCAGTCAATGAAGATCCTCTGGACTCTGAATCAGGAAGGTAAGGAGTATCTAGAAACCGAAGTTCTATGTAAATACTCTTTAAGTCAAAATAACCTTCCTGATGCCAGGAAGTTCCTGTTCAGATTTCTCATCAGCTATGTTCTGTTAAAAAAAAAAACCAAAGACAAACCAAAGCAGGAGATCTCATCACAGGTTTCCAACATCTCGTCCAGGAAAAAAGATAATTATAGAAGCTTGATCCCAGAAAAAAAATTATTGTTTTCTGACTTTCCTATACTGAAACACTACCAAGAAAGCTTAATATAATACACATAGAAGTGCACTAAAAGTTAAATGCTTGATTATTCATGGCACTGAAAGACAGTTGTTTCCATTATTAATGCCAGATATCATTACCTGAATTAGTTGTGTAAACAATACAATATTAATTTCTTGTCACTGAGTTCTTCCACTGAGTATAGCTTTAGATATTTCCATATTTTATATGGAAAAATTAGAATATAAATTTGAAAATTGCAGAGATGCCATTACAACCTGGTATTTTGTCTTTTTAAGATTTACACAAGTCATAGTGCCATTCCATGCATCTCCATGCATGTGATAAATGAGGTATAGTTCACAAGTTTTCTGCCTTTTATTTGTTTCTTTGTTTATTAGATTTTGTCTTTATTATTTTATAAGTAACCCTAGGTCAGTGATGGCGAACCTTTTAGAGACCGAGTGCCCAAACTACAACCCAAAACCCACTTATTTATTGCTGGGTGCCAGGTGGGCATGGCCCACTAGGTGGACGTGGCTGTGATGGTCATGGCAGACTGGGTGGGTGTGGCCAAGGTGGGCGTTGTCATCTCGATGTTACTCGTGGGGAGGGATGCCTGTGGGGGCCGGGCAGGTTTGGGGGACATCCAGGGGGGTCTCTGGCAGGTGGGGCAGTGGGCAGGAGGCTCATTCTGCGGGGTGAGGTGAGGCAGGGCGGGGCAGGGGTGCCATTGTTGCAGGGCAAGGTGAGACAGAGGCCAGGGAGGCTGCTGCCTGACACCGTCGGCCCCCGCACACAGAGGCCAGCAACCGCATGGGGGCCGACAGTGTCCGTCAGCAGTCACAGCCTGCCGGCCCCTCGACTGGCGCACTCTGGGGCTCCGCAGCCCACCACCAGCAGTTCAGAGAAGCCACCTCTGAGCTGGACGGCCTGCCAACAGCTGAGGAGGCGATGCAGTGGGAAAAGGAGAGCATGCAAGGCCAGGAGGGAAGGGACGGGGGGGAGGGAAACCAGCCGTGCTGGGATGCATCCAGCCACATGGGACCTCGGCGAGTTAGCGGGCGGCTGGTTGAAGAGGGACGGTTGCCATCTCTGGGACATGGCGCATGTGCCCACAGAGAGGGCTCAGTGCCGCCTCTGGCACGCGTGCCATATGTTCGCCACCACTGCCCTAGGTGGTGAACATACATATTACTCCCTCCTCCTCCTATTTTCTCTCCAACAACAACCCAGTGTAATAAAGTTACTAGTCGGAAAATATTGCTATCAGGCTCCTTCTGATTTTGGACTATTATAGCTAACGTTGCTCTCCTCGTTCAATACCTTTAGCTCAGTGGTTCTCAACCTGTGGGTCGGGACCCCATTTGGGGTCGATCGACCATTTCACGGGGGTCGCCAAGCAAGGCTGTCCGCCATTTCTTTTGTCCGCCATTTTTTTTGTCCGCCATTTTTCCCCCTTTTCCGGCGGGTGCCTTACCTCCCTTGGGCTGGGCCAGCTGGTGGTCGGCCTGCTCCGTCTCTGGCGCGTGCCAGCTACGCCTCGGCCGGCGCAGGGGGCGGAACCACGCATGCGCGGCACTCCCAGGCAGGGAAAGTCCTCGACTTACGACCATTTGGGTAGTCCTCGACTTACGACCGGTTTAGTCCTCGACTTACGACCGGTTTAGTCCTCGACTTACAACCGGTTTAGTCCTCGACTTACGACCGGTTGGGGTCGCGGCATTAAAAAGGTTGAGAACCACTGCTTTAGCTCAAAAACAGTGCCACATAAGTTCCATATTTAAAATCTCTTTATTTTCTACAGGTACCAACCTGGTGGAAGATATTTGTCAATGTCTCGAAGTAGAATATTTGATGATGTCTAAAGCCCCAGAACACTTGAATATCACTCTGGGAAAATGCCTCATATCTCATTCTGCAACCGAATCGGCTTCAGTTCGCCAGGAAAGAAAATGGAATGTGAGGAATAAGGAACTTTTTTCCTCTAACAAAATGCACTTTGTAGAATTAGTTGCCCACTTCAAGATGGGCTTAGAGCATTGGTTTCCAACCCCTGCAGCGGTGCCTTTTCTAGCTTTCCCCTCACTCCTTCAAACTTTGAATAGGATTTGAATAAGAAAAGAAGGGGCACAAGGGAGAAAGGGGTGCTCGGCGGCCCAGAGACAGTTCTTGTTGTTTGGGGTTATTCTTATCTCTTAATGAAGAAGCCTCGTCAACTTCAGAAAAACCTCTCCTAGATTTTAGAAGCTGTCCATACATAAAGGAATATGGTTTTGACTTTCAGAGTTTAATCAAGGTAAAGGTAATGCGGATGCAGTCTTAAAATAACAAATGTTGGGCCCAAAATAAAGTTGTAAATGTGCGCCTGTGGGAAGTTTTGTTTTTGGGTGGTGAGGGGGAAGACTTCAGATTCAAAAGAGATTTCTAAGGATAAGGCAATTGGGTCTTCCTAAGTGCAGTTCATTATTAGCCCTATTTGGTGCAAATATTTATGGATTACCTTCTATACCAGCCTTGGTATGATTCAGGAAAGGCCATTCAGATAGGTTTGGGATCTCAATTCAACTTTTTGAAGATCTGGAGAGATTTTACAAATCTGCATAAAATAGCTTTTCTTCAATGCCTGCCTAAGAGTCACTGAATAGGAAACAATTTATGTTTTCTTTATCTACATAGCAAGTGACATTTGCATGCATGAGAACTGATAACGAAATCTTAATCCTATCTTAACAGTTTGAAAGCAAAATATTTAACTACGTATACTAGCACATAGCTATAAGGGAAAAACATCACAAAAATGTCTTTTAAGATTCATTGATAAAAGCTGCTGGTAAAAATTATTCAGCTAAATTATTATTTTTTTTTTGCCATACTGAATTGTAAAGTTCCAATTTTCTCTATGGAAAACTCCGTTGTTTTAAGAGTAATTTAATAGTTCTTGCAGTCTGGATCCTGCATTTTGAAAAAATGAACTATTCTAGTATGAAAATTAAAAAAAAAGATGACATCCAACTATTGCCTTACAAAGGAAATCTGTTTTAATCAAGCCTGTATTTTTACTGCTAGAGCAGTTTTTTTCACTAGAGAAAAAAAATATCCATACTTTTTCAAATAGAGACCAAGAAATTTTTCAAATCGATTTTCATAGGTATTCATGAATGCTATATTAAAATGTATACAGTATTATCAGGATTGGACAATATCAGGTTAAGAAAAAATAAGCATTTGTCATTGTTTTCTTGAAGCCAAATCCGGTAATTAGATATTATCATGAGAATTTAAACATTTATCCTGTCACTATCCTGTGTTTCATACAGAAAGGGGATTTGCATATTTTTATCTGTTAGCCATCCATCTCACCATGAGATTTTAGTCATTTTAGAAAAGCAAAGGATGTAAATATTTTGATTAGTGAATAGTAATGCTGTACAACAGAGAAGATTTTTTGTGTGTGTGTTGGATAGATTTAAACATCCCAGAACAGTGCAGCCTTAAAGTCACAATGCTTGGCAGAATTTTTATGAGTACAAAGAGATGTTTTTCCATTCTTGTTTGTAACAACCAAATAAATAATGTATGATAATTTATTGGGCATTTCCTTACAGTGTCCAAATTCAGGTGTAGCATGCGCAAGTATCAAGGAAGATATGGAAGAAGATAAACACAGTAATGGTTGATCTTTGTATTTTATAATACATAAACCCAACATTCATTTTAGAGGGAGAAAGGTTATTGTGATTTGCAGTAGCTTCAGTGAAGCATCATTTTATGCAATGTGCATCTGGAAAGTGAATGGCTTATCTTCTGTCAAGTATGACTTGGGATACTATTTTCACAAACGCTGAAATTACACTCGGTGCTCAACATACCAAATATATGATTAACAGAAACTGGAATGTACTAACAAAGGAATTTGCAAACTGTTATATCAATACCAGTTTAATATTAAGTTTAGAATTTAGAAATTGTCTCGATGCCATAAATTGATCTAAACATCCCATGTCTATTAAGAAAAGCTACTTTTGAGTTATCAAATTTCTTCCGAACATTTTTTGATTCCCAGAAAAAAGTCCGATATTTTTAATACCTTATTCATTTTGATAAACAGAAATTTTGTTACTAGTAAGTTGAGAACTTACAGTGAAAGGTTGTTAAAATTTGATTCAAAAGTTATTGACTCAAATGCATAGTTGCAGACTAGATGCTCTCTTTTGCTTTGAAGGTTGAGCTGGAATTTCACACATATTTTCCTTAGAAGTTTGGAAATGGACTGTGTTATTGCTATGGGACATTCTCAGGTGACCGACAAATCAAGTGAAGGAGATTTGGCTTAAAATAGTACTTTTTTCTTCTTGAAATTCTTTTTGGCAGACCTTTAAATTGAAGTCAGGCAGCTTGCATAAAAGCATATAAAACATTCCAGTCAGCAATTCAAACTGCTTGATGCATTAAGTATTAAGACTTCAGTGTCTTGTTTTTTGCACCCTGCTATGGAACTTCATGCCAAAACAAAAATATTTAAAACATTTCTATATATTTGTGAAGCTGACTCATTTTTTTCACTTGTAAGAGTGTCATGGTCATTATGTTGTCTGAAGAACTTTGATTTCTTCTTTAAATACAAATTGGAAAATGTGGCTTTTGAGCAGGTACATTCATGCGAAAGTTTATATTTGCCATTGAATTCTTTATTTATACCTAATAGGTTGGAACTGAAATAATTGCTTTGTAAATAATATTGGGGTTTGGAGTCATGATCAATGAAATATATATATTTGCTGCGAATAAGTAAGTGTTATTTATATCTAACTAGAGATGTGTGCATTACTGTAGTATAAAGTAAAATGTAATGCTATATATGAATGGAATTAAAATGAAATTTATGTTTCTCTAATTGTCAATGTTTAGTGTGTAACTGAAATGCTGATGTTGCTGAATTGAGTGCAGAGAATTAAAAAAAAAGAGTGTGGGGTATCTGTATAAGTTGTTTTTTAGTTATAGAAAACATTACAAAATGTGCACTGCTACTGAAGAAATCATTTTGAAGCAAAATTTTCACAATTTTTCTTTGCACAAAATTATGCTGCTAACGGTATTGTCAAGGAATGGTTGGAACATTTTTTTTTTCATTTTCCACAGGACCTATTAGTGAAGATCACCTAACTGAATGTTATTTTGCTATCTTGGTATATATTACCAACTGCATATATCACAAGACGCCACGATTTTCATGTTTTTCATTATTAATACTTGGAGATATAAAGTTCATTTAACATTAAAATAAGCATCTTTTGCGGAACAAAATGAAGAATTATGCTGAAAAACTATGCTCTGAATTTAGCAATTCCAGTGTTAATTTTTCTTCTGTGATTATTTCTAAAAATGTACAAAAAAGGAAAAGAAAAAAAAAGATGTTGAGGGACCTGAATATGTCTACCCAAACAAAACTTACTTTCAAGGCCTTTTCCCACCTTTGTTACTTTCTCTGCTATTTCTTTCTACAATTTCTGTCTATGCGTCATAAATCAGAAAACATTGCAACTACATCATGATTCCTTCTCTCTAACATGTATTTTGAGTGTGTGAATTTCTTATTTTACCAATAAGTGCTTATTTTGTTGTAGTGTATCTAGTGATATTGGTCATACTGCAAATGTTCAATGTGAAGGAAATCTGCCAGAATTGTACCCTTTGTAAATATAGAAGCTATGCTAGATTTCCATTTGTATTCATGGATGACATGACTATAGATCAAAAGTAACCAAGAGGAATTAAGAGGATGATTTACACTACCATTGGGACAAATTAGCACTTTGTTTCACTAATAATGGAACAAGTTTGTCTACCTTGAACAACATAATATGTAATCAAAAATACTGAATCCTGAGCACTGCGTTTTTGTCTCAATAATCCTAAATTGCATATTTCCAAACTGATGTGCCCATTCTGGTTTTTACTTCATTTGTTTCTGTTTATATAATTTATTTCTCTGGAAAATAAGGGAAGTTTGGGTGACTTCGTAAAATGCCTTACAAGTGCATGTTACACATGGGCTTTGAGAACATGACTTAAGTGAATTCCCTTTGTCTTCATCACTTCAATGGAGATATGTATATCTTATTTGGGTATGCAGAATTGCAGAACTATAAATTATTTATGTACTGATCTTTTTTAATGTATATTTAAATCTAATTAGAATAAAGTTTGCCTGAATGGATTTTCTGCAATATTTTCTTTATATAACAATACATTTTAGATTAATATTAGAATGGGTATGCATTATGTGAATATTGACATAATTGTACAATTCCTTTGTATTAAGCAAATACCCCTACATAGAATAGGCTGGCTCTGTGCATAGTTAGGGTTTTTTTAAAAAGAAAAAGAAAACAGTACAACCTATACTACATGAAAGGATTATGAAGCCTTCAGTATAACGATGGCATTGTCTCCTGTTCCATGTCCAATTGTTTTATCTAGATCAGGGCTTTACAACCAGTGGTACTGGTACCACCTGTGGTACATTGGCACCTTGCAGGTGGTACGCGACCATCCTAGAAAAGTAGTGGGGGAGGGGAATGAGCTGAACCGGTGGCAACACCGCACAAGCCTGAGCGAGAGATGACTGGAGCTGCAGGGCTGTCAGGGTTCAGCAGAAGCACCAAGATCAGCGCCAGGCTCCAACTGGAGTTTGGCGCTGATCCTGGTGCTTTTGCTGAGCCCTGAAGAAGCACCAATCAGCTGGAAAGCAACACTGATCCTGGTGCTTCTGCTGAGCCCAGAAGAAGCGCCGATCAGCTGGAATGTTGCAGCATCTCCAGGGTTTTGTGATTTATATTCAGATGCTTGGCAACTGATTCATATTTATGACAGTCACAATGTCCCAGGGTCATGTGAAGTGACCAAAATCTGTTGCAACCACCCAGCAGATGGGGGGAATAAAAACGAAACACCCCGCCCTGATCTAGATGAACTTTCTCCAATCTTTGGGTATGTTTTGCTATAATTTCCAGAGTGAAACAATTATGTACATAGTTACTTCAAAATAAATCTTTAAGTTTATTGCCAGTGGTGATTCTAGGGTTGTTTGGTTGCTAGATCTTAAAGGAAGAAAATGTTCCTAGTTTTTTTTAAATATTTTTATTGATTTTTTCCATACATTCAATAGCATTTATTCAACAAACGTGCTGTCTGAGTTTACATTCGCTAATACATATTTAGTTCCTAATCCTTTAGTCTTTCCTCTAGCCATCGATAAAATAAGTCCCAAGTTTGATAATATACCATTTCTTCTTTTTCTTTCAGCCTGAATCAGTCTATCCATCTCCGTGCATTCTAATATTTTTCTAATTATTTCTTCATCGGATAGTATTTCTTCATTTTTCCAATAATGTTCCTAATTAATGTGGCTGTTAATTTGTTAAAATGTTAATTTATTATATCGAATTACAAGCAATTATAATTATTTCTATGTGTGGGATATTCCAGAAAAGCATTCTACTTTTACTACTGCTCTTAACTACTGTTCTTAACTGCCTTCTCTTTTAAATCCTGGCTTTTGCTTGATGTAAGCTTATTGAAGAACATATGTTAATCAGAACCATTGTTTTATTCATGCATCCAATGCAATTGGTCTAATTCATTAATAGATTAATCTTAGTTGAATAGTGTTAATTGAATGATCTGGATGTAGTTTGCAGAGAATGTTTATACATTCTATAACAGTGATGGCGAACCTTTTAGAGACCGAGTGCCCAAACTGCAACCCAAAACCCACTTATTTATCACCGGGTGCCAGGTGGGTGTGGCCCACTGGGTGGGCGTGGCTGTGGTGGTCATGGCAGACTGGGTGGGTGTAGCCAAGGTGGGCATGGTCACCTCGATGTTGCTTGTGGAGAGGGTTGGGGGAGATCCAGGGGGTCTCTGGCAGGTGGGGCAGTGGGCAGGAGGCTCGTCCTGTGGGGTGAGGTGAGATAAAGCGAGGCGAGGCAGGGCGGGGGGAGGGAAACCAGCCGAGCTGGGATGCATCCGGCCACGTGGGACCTCGGTGAGTTAGCGGGCAGCTTGTTGAAGAGGGACGGTTGCCATCTCTGGGGCATGGCACGCGTGCCCACAGAGAGGGCTCTGAGTGCCGCCTCTGGCACGCGTGCCATAGGTTCGCCACCACTGTTCTATAATTAAATGAACATAATTTAAATTAAATTATAATTAAATTTGTTTATTGTAACTCTATTCACCACCCAGAGACACTCGTTGAGTTGGGCAACCATATAAATTGGGTAAATAAATAAAATTGACAGAGGAACAAAAAACCTAAATAAAATTACATCTTTTATGTAACTATTTAATTTGGAGAATTGATGTCCTTCCTTTAGATCAGTTGAATCTCAGATGGCTTTGAATAGCCATTTGAACATTGAACTCCAACACTGATTGGAAAGAATCCTCTTGCATTTCTGGTGTATATTTCCATTATTACCAGGAAATATTCTGGATCAAACCTGGCAATGTCTATATGGGAAGCACGAAAGTTAATATCTTTAATTTCATTTAAATTGTTTTAAAGTAGCTTTTATGCTACAAAGACCTAAAGAGTACATAGAAAGAAAAGATGAAAATGAAAATGATCCCTACACACAGACACACAATGTTGGTCTTAACCTGATCCCATCGAGCTTCAGAATTTGTATCTTGGAGCTCCCAGTGTCTCTTCCTATATCATTTACTTCTTTTGTCCCTCACTCACAAAATAATCAACAAAGGAACATGCAGACATGGTCAAAACTCCAGAATAAAATCATCTGTTTGCAAAATTGCCAGGCAGCTACCATTTCACATATACAACAAAGAAAGAGTACAGAGAAGAGCAACAAAGATGATTAGGGGACTGGAGGCTAAAACATATAAGGAAAGGCTGCTGGAATTGGGTATGTCTAGTTTAACGAAGAGAAGGACGAGGGGGACATGATAGCAGTGTTCCAGTATCTCAGGGGCTGCCACAAAGAAGAGGGAGTCAAGCTATTTTCCAAAGCTCCTGAAGACAGAACAAGAAGCAATGGATGGAAACTAATCAAGGAGAGAAGCAACCTAGAACTAAGGAGAAACTTCCTGACAGTTAGAACAATTAACCAGTGGAACAACCTGCCTCCAGAACTGGTGAATGCTCCAACACTGGAAGTTTTTAAGAAGAAACTGGACAGCCATTTGTCCGAAATGGTATAGGGTTACCTGCCTGAGCAGGGGGTTGGACTTGATGACCTCCAAGGTCCCTTCCAACTTTATTATTATTATTATTATTATTATTATTATTATTATTATTATTATTATTATTATTATTATTATTATTATTATTATTATTATTATTATTATTATATACATGTACGGAAAAATATCTGTGGGGTGAATAGCTGCTAATCATTTATTTTCATCTGGAGCAAAAATTGGACGGGGGGGTCTCTGTAAGTGTAGCTCAGAGGATGGGACACTGATTTGATGGTATTCCTTGCACCTCCAGGTTGGTTGTCCATAAAATAAGATGGTGTTTTCTGCATTTTGAAACAGAAATAAATTAGTTTGGGGATGATTTCAAACTGCTTTGTGAAGGATTGTACCAGGGGTATCCATAGTGCGTGTTAAAAAAAAATCAAGATAACCGCTATGATGGTGTGATCAAAACTCTGCTTGCTTTTTATGTGCATCGCGTGTGTGTGATGCATATATGATAAGTGTAGCTTCTGTCACATTTCAAGCTGACTTTTTTTTAACTACAACATGGAGACAGCTGGATTGCAAGTTGGAAATACAGATGATGTGGCAGTTTCCTTGTACTGCAGACTTTTTTGACTTTTGTATTTTTGCACAAAAGAGCTAAACCTGGAAACTACTGGGAAAAATGCAAACAGTACAAAAATCACTTTATTTTCTCCATTTGTTATTTCAGAAACAAGAAAGAGCATATGCTATATTACAGCAAAGCATCAGTCATATTCATGGAATCATTATAATTTTAAAATAAAAGCATTTGTGCTCTTGTCACTAGTAAATTAAATCTTCATCTAGCTCCAAATTAAAGGTATGGTCTCTGACTGAAAGATATCTAAAACCCTATTTTGTACACATATACAATTGGTCTAAATAATTTTGAAGCAGGTTATGTTAAATATTTCAAAGAAATAATTCTTTGCCTAGAACTTACCTTTCCTTCCATAACGGTGACAGAAAACTAACATTTCCTGGGCGTATCTAGGTTCAAACGTTTCCCTTTGAATTCTAATCTTCCACATCATTTTCTCTCTTTCCATTTTTTTAAATAGAAAGGCAGATTCAGGTGAATTCCCTTTTCCTCCTCTACATTAAAAGTTAGGGAGCTTTCCCTTGCAGCAAAAATAATTTCCTGAGACACTGGGATTTGCAATCTGCACTGGGATCTGAAAGTCAGATGCAAAACAGAGGAACGTAGCATGAAAGAGCATCTCTGGCTACAGAAGAGAATGATTCAAACCCGGCCAGGTTGCATGAGGCCCTTCTGGGCCATCCACATCACCTTGGAAACAAGGTAGTAAACTTCAAGCAGGGGAGTGATATGTAAACAAGTAACCTGAGATGGATGGACAGCTGATGTCTTCCAGTCAGGCTTCGCTGCCTGTTGGTTTTTGCCTTCGTCCTTCCCCCCAGCCCAATCAGGGCAAGAGGGTGTAGGCCAGGAGAAGGGAGAAAACACAAGGAAGAGATAGGCCTATTTTCTCTAACTCTACAAGAAAGCGTCCATAGTTTCAGGTGGAAGCAACAGGTGACAGATTCAAGGTAACCAAATATTTTATTCTCATTCCCCTTCACCAGTGGCTTCCAGAAGTTACTATGTCATTTATATCCCTATCCTCCCCCTCTTTGCTATTAAGGGCATTGCCTACTTAGAAAGTTTGTGCAATTAAAAAAAAATGACATCTGGGATAATAAACTGTGTGTGTTATGGAGAGTCAAAAAAGAAATATGCAGCAAACTCGGAATAATTGCAATCGCTTGATATGTAACTTTGAGATTCAGGAGAACACGGAGTTGGGTGGTCCGAGAGAGCCTGCATCGTACATAGCAGATTTGCTTGGCGTGATCATTGTCAAATTATAACTAAAGTGCTTTTCAGCCAGAAACCTTCCAAAATGTTGAACAACCAGTTAAAATATAGGACAGATAAATTTTATAATGTACAGAAATCAAAAAGAGTAGTTCATCTTTGTGGTATAAAATAGAAAAAATCATATTTTTAAAAAGATAGAATAGCATTAAATACTGTGTAAAAATCTTTGCTTCACTGACTTGGTCAGATTGTTTGAGCTCTCTTGCACTTTAAGGAGGAAATCAAGTGCTTTGCATAGTGACCTTTCAGACTGATGCTATCAGATGGTTATGAAGCCTTTGTGAATACATTGTGAAATTACTGGTCTACATTTTATTGTTGCTATAGTTTTACACACACACATTCCATGAATTGTAATAAGCATACCTGCTGGAATGTCCTTTTTCTTGTTTTACTTCAGCAAAGTCTAAGTTTGCACTTGTTTCATTTTGCATAAATTGATAGAAGGAGATCTTGAGAAAGGGCGGGGGGGAAGAAGGCTACACTCCAGATGCTCCCCAAACAGTAGCAAACCCAGGGGTCATCTGGATCTGAGAATTTGACATCTTTGGTTCTACATGAAATTACACTTTCCCAGACAGACCAAGTGTGCAATCTGGGGACTCACAACCCCTGCTGGAAGAGCAGATGACAGTCATGGCTACAAGGGCCTTTGCATACCTTTACGTTGTGTGCCATTTGCACCAATTCCTGAACCAGGAGGCTCTACACACTACACCCCAATCACCTCCCTTATGAATTACTGTAATGTGTTCTACATGGGGCTGCCTATGAAGAGCATTGGGAAGTTTTAGTTGGTTCAAAATGCAGCACAAGCAGGCAGTAATGTGCGCAACTAGATCTGTACACATTATCCCTCTGCTCCGCAAGCTGCATTTATTTGCTTCCAAGTTCAGGGTGTTGGTGATAAAGCTGTACAAGAACTGAATTGAATAACTTTTATTTTCATTTCACTGTATATACAATGGCACACATTAAAATGAAAATCCAATGCACCACTCTCAAAAGTAAAAATTCCACCCACCAAACAATGTCACCATCCCAAGGATAATAAAAATAACAACAATAATGTGGACCAAGGCAGTCATAGAATGGATCCCACTTGATAAAAAGCATCCACGAAAGAGACCTAAAATCAGATGGATTGATGACATCAGCAAGTATTGTGGGCCCAACTGGCAAAAGAAAGCTCAGGACTCTATTAGTCCTGAAAAGGCCTTCAACTTGCAGTGTACAGACAATGGCTAAAATGATGATGATGACGATGATGATGATGATGATGATGATGAACAGCAGCAGCACTCAAAATGTTAAATTATACAAAACTGATGCCAAAACATGCATACATACACATGTATATTTGAGGGATCCTCCATGACATCGACCCATCCCATCAGATCCAGCAGAAGAGGTTTGTTGTGGGACCCAAGAGGGTCTTTTCTGCTGCCTCACCTGCCCTATGGAACATCATTCCTCCTGAGAACATGCTGGGCCCAACTGTGCTGACCTTCCAGAAGAGCCCAAAGATGGCTTTGCCATCTAGCCTGGGGATCAGAGACTGATGTGGGGCCCCTAAAATGACCGTGTTGCTCTCGATTGACTCTGCTCTGCCAGCAATTGCATTGTATGCTTTTTGTTTTTGGAATTCTTTTAATATTTTCTATTCGTCATAATGTCATTTTATTTTTGAGTGGGGTTTTTTTTGGCATTGTTTATGGTTTAATCATAAGCCATCCAGAATCACGAATGTATGATGGGCAGCTATACAAATTGGATGGATGGATGGATGGATGGATGGATGAATGAATAAACAAGATGTGCAAAGCAAATAAATCTGAAACTGTTGGGAATTCGAATCTTTGCAGACTGAGCTGTAGGAAATAAGTTGCAGTGAAAGAGAAAAGATTGCTTCCAAGGAAACATTTTAGGATCTGATTGCTAATATCCAGTGGTGGGATTCAAATATGTAAACAACCGGTTCTCTGTGTGGATGCCGCTTCCAGAAGTCCATTCTGGGCCTGGGCAACAAAAAAATTAGCTACCGGTTCTTCCGAAGTGGTATAAATTGGCTGAATCCCACCACTGCTAATATCATATTTCTGTCCACGTGTGTATGGTTACTAAGAGTCAATACCAAATTGATAGCACATAATCGATCGATTTGTAGGTGAGGAATGAATACTTAAGGCAGAGCTGCTACCTTCTCTGTGATAACCAAATGTAAAGACCTTGTCCATTTATTCATTTGGCAAAGATGGACAACTGCTTTGCTTGCTTTTCCTTAACTTTAGCGTAAAAATGCATAATATTTTCAAACTTTGGTTGAAATTTTTGTTTGACCCTTGTTCGACTCATGAATGATCAAGCTGCACAAATTAGCTTAACATATATAAGTATTAATTACCATACTCGTTAAAAAGTTGAAAAATGTAATCTTAAATTCTTTTGGCAAAGTTCTTCTTCCTCACATCTACATATTTATATTTTAGAAAAAGCTAGTTTTTCATTTATGTGGTACAGTAGCCTTTTTGTACAGACAGAATTACCAGCACTTTTGTTCCCGTTCGCTCAGGTGCCTTTAACAATACCTGAATTTAATGCAAACCATGAATGCTTGCAGTTCCTAAAGATGCATAGAAGGCAGGAACTGCATAGAAGGCCATTTTAAAGATACCAGAGTAGATGTCTCTCCTTTTCTCCCTCAATGAAGGTTATCAAGAAGAGACTGGACAGCCTTTTGTCATGGACAACAGGGTTTAGAGAAAATTTCCAAGGTCCCTTCCAAGCCTTTTATTCTTTGTTCCATGTTAAGATAACTGACTTCCTTTTTTTCTAGATGGCGGGCACTGCACGACATGACAGGGAAATGGCCATCCAAGCCAAGAAAAACCTTACCCACACCACTGATCCAATCGAGAAGCTACGCCTTCAGTGCCTGGCAAGGGGCTCAGCAGGCATCAAAGGCCTGAGCAGGTAAATGGATGGTGAAACCAAG